TGATACGTACGCACACCACGGAATAGATACCCCTCATTAAGAATTGTAACTTCTCTAACTAGGTACTTCACAGTTATACATACAACATGCCCTATGCATATTCTTTGCTACGTACACATCCCTCCTTAATACAGGTTTCTTTTGTGTCGGCACACAACCTTGCGCATAACTTCCGCTCTCATCATCCGGTGCGCCCCCTATATGTACCCCTAATACTACAATTTCCCCCATTATATGGATACTTCTAGTTTTTGGAACAAGTGTTGATCATACCTCTTTCTGGCTCTGCAAAACAGTAAGCTTTACCACTGCTTGCTGCCACTTCTTACGGTCTTTGCTTTGGAAATAGATGATGCTGCCTCGCGCTGAGGCTAATACTAAGTTTCTAATACTGGAGGCTCCCGATTGACTACGTATTGGCGTAATTGAAGTCGAACGATTCCGTAGCTCTATTCACGTGCTTCTCAGTAGGCATTATACACCCATGTGTCGCTTCTGTTGTACGATGAGTGGGCGTACAATTTCGGAGGACTCTTTAGCAAGCATGAGAGTGGCCCAAACAACGTCAAGATAGCCTAAGGGAGAGGCGGTGGCGAAAAGTTGGAAACGGGGTTGTAGTCATGGCAGCAGAAAACATGGGTCAGAGCTGTATGGCGTCGTTAAGGTTATTGAGCTCACTTAGCAAGCGACAACTCGTTCCGATTTATTAGGTCTTCCCTCCTTTGATGAAATGGCGATATGCCCGAGCTAATGTCTTTTTCATCATCCGTCGCTGTCCTAGGCTCCGTGTTGCACTGTTGTTTACGTCTTGCTGTCGAATTAAAGATGCGCCCGTATCAAATATATTGTATATCCCGATCGTGCTTCTGTGGCACGCGCGTCAATGCTACAATCGAAGAACATGTACGTTGTAAGCCTAGGCAAGTAGCCATTCACTTTACGGTACTGATGTGACGCACTCGCCGATTAGTACTGTAGCGGAGCTACACAGCTCCTTAAGTCAGAGGAAGACTTAACGCTCAGCGAGCAACTTAGGTTTGAAGAACCCGACTCAGAGAGTCAACAAGCTCAGAGAGCTTACGGCCCCTGTTACAGGGGGGCCAAATGATTCAAGAGAATTTCAGCACAAAGTGCTCAAGAGCAGCTACTTAACATGCGTTGCTAGCTCTTACGATTAAGACGCCTCGTGAGGCACGTGTCTTTAATGATTAAAATGGGAGCTGAACTTTATTTCTTCTTTTAACCTAAAAAGTACCTTAGAACAACGTAATTAACCTACTCGCTAATGTCCTAAATAAACCTATTAAAAGATCTCGTAATCAATGGTTGACAGACATCAGTCTTCAACAATTGATACTTGTGTTCTAATATCACTTTAAAGGGATCCCATCCCTTGTGTGCACCACACCTATTGTCGACTACCAGCCGACCTGTAATCCCGTTACAGATAAAGTGCTCATAAGATTGCCGAGTAATGATCCAACTTGTATATGTCATTGCTTAGATTGGTAGCTTTCACTTGTTAGTCTACGATTTCAGTGTTGTAGAGTAGAGTAGGTTAGAGTACCTTGGGGCGTACTTATTAGTCTGACTCCTCTCAAATTATCGCATGTAGATTGTCTGCCGATCGCCAATGTCGATCAGTATAATGATGTCTCGGGCAGCATCGTCAACGTTGGCAGCAGCATGTGTCGCGGGAAAGGATGATTTTCTCGACGCATTACGACGCACGCCTTAGACTTTTCAAATGTGATCCTCTACGCATCTAAATGAAACGTATATATCTGATTGCTCACACCACGGCTGAGCCTTTAAGGAGCAGCACACGGTATCTACTACTGATTCGATCTATCTACGAATGCATACATAGTCATCCCATTCGAGCGGCTTTTCGAGAAATTGAGGACGGCCATTTATAATCTGACTGCACTGCTAGCATCAGCTTGGCTGTACCGCAACATATGGAATCCTTGTGCATGCATCTTGATGCGCTTGTCAGCAAAGAAGTTGCACTGTAGTTTAGCTCAAGTAAAGTCTGCAGCATTAAATCAAGACGACGCATTTAGAAGAACATTCGCAGCAGTTGTGCAAGCCGTTTGCATGGTCCATCGATAAATGTGAGGGAAAAGATACTGTGCCGCTTTAGTATTACAGTTTGTGCCCAGATTTCAAAAGGCTGACCTTAAGCGTGCGTAACTTTCATTACGACAGTTTACAGACGGGCTTCATACACAACCACTTCGTACATGCTACGTGTCTGCGAACCATAAATGTCATGGTGTGAGCTTTTTTTTAAACATCGACCGATATTTACAAGAGCAATTTAAGGGGGGTGTACCGGATGATGAGAGCGGAAGCCAGATGCAAGGCTGTGTGCTGACACAAAAGAGGCCTGTATTCACGGAGGGATTTGTACGTAGCAGAGAATGTGCATAGGGCATGTTGTATGTATAAATGTGCAGGAACTAGTTAAGGAGGTTACGGTACTTAAGGAGGGATCCCTATTTCAGAGGGGGTGTACGTATCGAAGGGAGGTGTGTACCTATGAATCTCCATAATTAAAATTACGGGCCACAAGACTGGCTTTCTAATGAACGCTATGATTTACCTTTTAACAGGAAGCGCGATACCATGTACAAGCGTACCAAATACTCCATGTTGCGATGTCTTACAGAAGACAATCTATTTGATCGTTCCCTTGCTAATCGCGCGGACTTTCTATACCAATTGTGCAATCGGCACGACACGCACTTGTATCTTATTACCGTCAGTTATCGCTCCTTCGCCGTGGCACAATCGGAAAGATTAAATGGATGGATTTCTAGACCATATCGCAGCTCAGAGTCTTGATATTGCGAAGAATATCTTGCTGGTTTTGCCTATTGATTATTCTGATATCTGCTGCCGCTGATATGTCCTCTTAGTTTGCCTACGTGTGCCTCGTGCTAGTCGGAACGGTACATTCCAAATGAACCAAAAGCCAAATTTTCCTTCGAATGTCGCTCGAGATAGTACTGTGCAGCCTGAGTAGTTCCAAATTATTAAAGGCACTGGATAAAATCGGTGGTAGACGTCTTCCCACAGTATCTTCCTCGGTCAGTTCCTATATGATTTTCTATTCATCATCAGTACCGTCTTGTAACTGCTTCGTGCCTGCTGGACCGCTTTACATACCACAGAGTGCTCTCAGCCGGATGCAGTCCTGGACAGAGTACTACTCTGGATTGAACATGTAGCACCATACCTATCTGCGATACCGTGGTGTGCTGGCCTGAGTTGGGTGGTTGGTCCCCTTGAAAGTTCGCCGTCCATTGAATTAAGGATAGATATATTGAATAGCGCTGTTTACTCGTCATATGCTCAATACGGTGCTGAGCATCCACGTGGTGTTCACAATATTCTTGTTGATGCTTGATTCATACCGTTCCCATTGTAGAAAGGAACCGTCCACCTCAACATATGCCTCCTCGAAGCGAGTCGTAAGCAGCGTACGTTCTACTGGCTGCAATTTCGGGTACCGAGATTTTCGTCGAGCGAGCTGCTCCCGAGTGGCATTTATTGCGGTATGGATACCAGCAAATGCTTGTAAAACAGTAATCTCACACGCCTTTCATAGCTTAACACTCTTAGCGGCCATGATGTCATGGATGAGGCAATTGTACAAGTCCTCGAGGTCAATGGTGCTGTGGGATCGTCCGGGATCGTAACGAAATGGCATTCGGAGACCTTTCGTTAGCCTGTACCGGGGCGGTGGATGCATCATTGAAACACTTGTCTACAGTAATTAGAACTCGCCGGGGGACAGAATATTTGTAACGGAGCAGGCCTTGTGTCAATTCTACACAAGATTTTGTGCACCCGACGTCACGTACACGTGGCGAGGAAGCGCAGTGAAGTAGGCAGAGCTCGGAAGGTCTGTATAAGGAAAAAGTAGCACTGTTCTTTAATATAGTTATGTTTCTTACTAAATAGTCTTTCGTCTTAATCTAACTATATTGAGCAAACCATCTCATATGTCAGTCTCTTGCTCACCACCCATTGCGCGCGTCTAGCAGCGATAGGTGGTTACTTTGGTTGATGTAGATGTTACATCAACCGAGTGGTGGAGCACCCGCGAATATTACCCTTAGAGGTAATATTCCGACAACATCACCTCTACTCGGGTGGTATTGATTGAATGAGATCAAAATAGATAATACTCAAAATTGATACTTTGTATAAATTTTTATGTGACGGGCTCCCCCCGTTACAGTATTGCTAGTCGCTATTCTTTCCTCAATATACCTCAATTTCAACAACAAAAACATGTTCGGGGAGGAACTGTACGGGAGAGTATCCCTAGCTTATTATTCTCTTGGTTTATAATCTCCTCCACTAAAAAAGCATTTTACGTCCCGTTCGGGTCCAGGCCAAATATTACAAAAACTCCCTTAATTTTTTATTGCTAAAGTCAGACAATATTTTGCTAGACAAATATTAAAAATTACTGCCGAGGAACCACTACATAAAAAGGTTTCCAGAGTTTGTTGCTTAAGGGATTTTTGCTGACGCTTTACCCGAAGATTTTAACTTTTTACTGCAGCTACCGGATATAATACCGGTGACCTCTCGCTTGGTGCTGCCACACCAACCCACTTGAGCAACAAGGTTATGTGCGAGAAACAAGTTAAGACGCCTTTATGACAACACGAAGCACCATTCGATTTAATTCTACCCCCTAACTCTGCTATTTAATAGGTCTTGTATTTAATCACAATCTGGCGGTCCCAGCTATACTAAATAATGGAAAACCCCACTGTACCTCTCTATTTTCGATTAATCCCATCCTCCAATGGGAGTACACAAAAAGTCTCAAACCAAATTCGTACTTTTACGATATGGAAATCACTTTTTTCGTTTCTATGCGACTATTTGACAGGCGGAAGAGTCGGTGTCCGTGCTTTGTTCTGCTGACCCTTCCATTTGTGTCCATTCATTGACACGCAAAGACACCTGCGACGATGGAGCAGCACACGGCGCCGTCTGCAAGAGCCGTAGAGACATTGACGACTAGGCCACCCATCTCACCGAAAGCGACAGTGCGCGAGCGACGCGCCGGTGAAGCTCCCGTCAAAAAAGAGTGTGTACAGCCCACACAGAGTGTCAATACGGATCCTCTCTCTACTCTCTCTATTCGCTCTCTGTGTGTTTCTCACCCATAGCAATGTGCTAACAGGTTTCTCAAGCGCAAACCAGCGGCGCCTAACGCTTTGACGTCCACTGAAGGCGTTACTGAGAAGGATACGAAGACTGAGCCGGTCGTGAAGGATGGTCGTGACCGTGTCCAGAAGAAACGCGGGGGGACTTTCAAGAAGCGTCCGATAGACGCCGAGCAAGACCCGGCAGATACTTTGTGTCGTCCGATGGCCTCTGGGGAGGGCTGCAAGTTTGGTCACGACTGCAAGTTCAGCCACGACATGAACGACTACATGAAACGCAAGCCCAAGGACCTGGGCGAGCGCTGTCCCGTGTTTGATGCCATCGGCTATTGCCGATACGGCGTGGCCTGTCGTTTTGCCAATGCTCACGTTGAGGTCGTGGATGGCACGTACCGCAATGTGAAGCGTGAAGGCTACGTTGAGACGCAGAACCACGACGTGGGCAACGAGACGAACGACCTGACCCACGACTTGCGGATGAAGTTGCGCAAAGACACGTACGACTTTCAGTCGAAGCAGCAGATGAAGAAGATGAAAAAGAGCGGCGGTCGGAAACCGCGGCAGCAGCGAACTGAGCAGGAGAGTGAGAACGTGCTGACTGCCGAGATATCGCAGACCGGTGAGGAGTCCACGACAGACAAGTCGCACCCCTCTCCTGAAGCAGTGCTACCCGTCTTGGAGTCTGCCGAAGGTGGGAATACAGACGGTGCATCTGAAGACTTGCGAGCAGAACCAGCCGCGGAAAGCGCACTGGTCGCCGAGCGCAAGCCCGTGAACTTTAAGCGCAAGATCTATATCGCACCACTCACTACGGTGGGTAACTTACCGTTCCGTCGCTTGATGAAACAAACAGGAGCCGACATTACGTGCGGTGAAATGGCCATGGCCACAAACCTGCTGAAGGCTCAGCAATCAGAGTGGGCGTTGCTGCGACGCCACAAGAGTGAGGATGTCTTTGGCGTGCAGCTGGCTGGATCGTACAGTGACCAAATGGCCCGAGTGTGCGAGCTCCTTGCTCGCGAGACGGATGTTGATTTCGTGGACATCAATATGGGCTGTCCTATCGACATCGTATGTCGTGCTGGTGCTGGATCGGCATTGATGACTCGCCCACCACGGCTGCTTGAGGTCGTGTCTGGCGCATTGACTGGACTAGAGCTTGGCGCGCGCATGCGTACTGGTGGGACTGTGAACACACCTGGGCTTACCGTGAAGCTTCGCACGGGGTGGAGCGACAAACAACCGACCGCTCACAAGTTAGTGCCCAAGCTGCAGGCTGTGCGCGCTTCGCAGGCTTATGTGAATGCCGCAGTGGTGACTGCTGACTTCAAGCTCCGCGCTACACAATCCGTCGACGCCATCATGATGCATGGCCGCTCACGGTTACAGCGCTACACGAAAAATGCTGATTGGGACTACATCTTCCAGTGCAGTGACTCAAGGATCGACAGCATTGACGACAGCCCGTTGCCCCAGGTGCCGTTCGTAGGCGGCGGCGATGTGCTCTCGTACGAAGAGTTTGATGAACATCTACAGAACGGCAAGCTCGACACGTGTATGCTAGCACGCGGCGCGCTAATCAAGCCGTGGCTTCCCACTGAGATCAAAGAACGTCGCCACTGGGACATTTCATCCTCGGAGCGCTTTGACTTGCTCAAGGACTTTGTCCGCTTTGGTCTGGAGCACTGGGGCTCTGACCAGAAGGGCGTGAATCGCACCCGACGTTACCTGCTCGAGTGGCAGTCGTTCCTGTGTCGCTACATTCCCGTCGGGTTGTTGGAGACTCTTCCTCAGCGCATCAACGACCGTCCGTCGCCTTATTACGGACGCGACGACCTGGAGACGCTAATGGCTAGTGATCAGGCAGTAGACTGGGTCAAGATCTCCGAGATGCTGCTAGGCCCCGCGCCGAATGACTTCCAATTTGTACCAAAGCACCGCGCGAACGCGTACCAGTCTAGTGTGCCGAATGAATGGTAGACACGTCGATCACAGGTTCGTGGTATTGCGCGGTTGCGTGGGTGTCCAAACGAGGTCGCTAGCTGGCCTCTTGATCTTGGAAGATCATCATGGTACATGGAAACACGCGCTCGGCACAGCACACTCACTGTAGCCGTTTCGTCGTCTTCTGTCTTCGCTTGAGCCATGTGACTAAACTTGCGTCGTCGGCGCGGTCTGACGATCGAAGTACATAAACATCAGAGCAAAAGGAGTAAACGCGCAGCGTCTGGCCGCAACTTGAATGCTGTCGTACCACTTTACATCGACAATGGGTGTCACTTTGCGTGCAGGCGCTTGCTCGACAGCAGTCGGAGACGGCCGTCTCAGACCGGACGTAGCAGCGTGTCACTGCGTCCCCTGCTGCGCAATACCATCCAGAGAAATTGTGAACCGTTAACTTTCCATGTACTCTCTTGCGAGCAGGTCGCCTTCGGACCCGATCTTGCGGCCTTCAACGTTCGCAGCCGTCATGCTACACATCATGCTTCACTAGTCAATCCATGTCTTAGCAAGTGACCGGTGAGGCATCAAAAACATCGCGTCTGTATCACCTTGGCAGAACGCGGATGCTGCGTGATGCCGCGTCAAAACTATACGGCCTGCTAGAGAGATACCGAAGTCTCGGATGGGCAATCGTCGACGCTCGCAAGGAGGACAGCTGGCATGACGTTGCTGGAGAACAGCCCATAGCACGCCACTGCAACAGCTCGGAAACTGATTCGAGAGAGCCACACGCCATGCATGGAAAGTCCTTGTAGGAGCCTTTTCGCTGCCAGACAATCGAGACCAGAAACTGAATGCCGAAGGGCCCATCCTGGACGACGTTTGACCACGTGATTCAAGACAGTGCCAAGATTGCCACAACCATCGCGAGACTCGAGCGTAAACATGTCGACATCCGAAGGCGTCGAGTCGGTTCCAAAATATTCGATGATGGGCGATTGACCGGTCGTAACCACTCTGCAGTCCTGTGCTGCTCGAAACACGCACCGAAGCTCAAACGCGATGGCCGTGATTTGCGTCCAAGGCCTTTCCCGTTGATCGAGTAGCGCGATTGTGAGGTCGAGAGAGCATTCTGCAACAGGTGTGTTACAGTCTGTAGCGTCACACATAACACGCCCCAAGCTTCGACTGGGGTTCTTCCACTTGCCGCTATCTTGTTCGTCGTCTGCGATGCGCGTGATAGATGCCGCTTTTGGAAGAGACCGTGCCGAGTTGCAGTCTTGTCCACGCAAAATGGGACGCGACGTGGCGATCCGTGGATCGGTCTACGGATGTAACGTTGCGACCAAATGTTAGCGTGAGTATTAGTGTCGGCATCACACTCAAGCGCACACAACTGCCTCGACCTCACGTGTGACACTTCGCGGCAGTGGGCTTCGGTGCAGTGATTGAGGCGTCAATCCATCCAGCGAGTAGCCCCTTCTTTGTGCACGAGAGACGTGACATAGCTGTGCGCGTCTGTGTAGCCCCAGCGCTCTTTCGTGTTGCTCGTGCTGGACGCGTCGTGGCCAACAGCTACTGCGAATGCTGCTTGGGGTAGGAGCCGTTGCCATGTTTACTATCTTGCCCGGCGCTCACTGTATTGTTAGCGTCCATCGTCCCGTTTACTGAATCTGTCCCGAGGTGCATGCATGATGCGAACTGCAAAGACGTGCATCGTAAGTCTCTCGTCGCGTGTCACCTCTTTTCGGACCAGACGTCCATCTTCGCAACTGCATCGCGTCGAGTCTTTGCGTTTCACTTCAGCTCGAAGGCGACCGAATCACTTGGCCCAGCCCCATACGAAACCCAAGTGAAGACTTCTGCGACGAGACAGCACAGCGTGCGGTCTGACCCCTCTCACGATAACGCCGCCCACCACAGCTTCGGCACTAATCGATCAGCCGGATCAACCGCTCGCTCTTGCCAGCCTTTCATGCCCAAGAACCGAGTGGAGTCACCCACGCGAAGCAGAGTCACCCATGCGAAGCATGAACAGGAACAGATACCACCTCACACAGCTGTCGTACAGCGGAGACAGCACGCCGCGTCTGAACGGCGGTGTCTTCTCCCAGCGCAAGGGCGTGCGCTACCATCGCGACGGGCAAGTGCACAGCTGCCGTTTCTGCGAAATCCTGCGCACGACGGCCGAGCCGTTACTATACCAGGATGAGCACGTGGTTGTCTTTCGTCCGCTGCGTCCGATCGTCCCCAGCCACGTCCTTATCGTGCCGCGTACGCACATCCGGAACGTGAATCGGCTTGCTGCAACACATCGTGGACTGCTTGCGCGGATGCATCATGTAGCCAAGATGGTCCTGACCCGAGAGTTCGAGGCTAAAACGGAGCCAGAATGCGTCGGGCTGCAGCTAGGGGAGCTCAAGGACATCCACGGACCCACGCACCGCATCCACTACACGTTCCACGTGCCGCCATTCAATAGCATCGACCACGTACACATGCATGCGTTCCTCGACGACCCAAGCAGCTTAGGTTGCTACGGACGACTGAAGTACCGCACCACGTCATGGTGGTGCCGCTCGTACGATCAAGTCATGACGAGGCTGGAGAAACTGGCCGTTGACGTGCAAAACGAGTGTGTCCATGTCGAAGAATCGTTGTTTGTCGATAGCCCAACGTCTTCCTCGGAGCAAGCTTGATGGCGTAAGGAGAGCAGGTCTGCTGTGATCTATTTGCAACCTGATTTCCGTCTATCCGGTTTAGTCACTGCTGCCGTATTCGAGCCGGACGTGTGAGGTCGTGGTCCGGCGAGGAGTAGCAGGTCGCCATCCGCACAGGATTGCTTCAATATCTTGGAGGCTGCGTTGACTGGTTTCGGGAATGTACCACCACGACAAGATAAGTCCAGCGACGTTGCACAGCATGACCATTCCGATACAAACGTCAAAGGTCGATGCTGGCTGCAGCATGAACTCGCGCATCATTGGGAGTGCGTGCGTGAGTCCAAGATTGACAACTGCTTCCCAGATCACAACGAGGCTCACAGCACCGACGCGCTGTTTCACGGCAAAGAGTTCGCCGACCAAGATCACGGGCAAAACCCCCAGGCCAAGCTGGTGTCCTGCATTGGCGAGCAACATGGCAGCCCAGCCGGAATCACTGAGCGCTACACCACTGTCGTCGCCTGACTGCGTGTTTCTAGAGGTGGACACGAACAAAAACGCACAAGTGAGGACCACCAAGTAACATCCACACTGCAGCGTCGCGAGCCGTCCTCTCGTATCAACCAAGTAGTAGCACGCGCCAACGCCCACCGCAGCAGCGACGGCAACAGTCATGGTCACGGCCATAAGTCCTTCATCAGTGCTTTCAACAGCCACGCCGAGAATTGTGGCGACAAACGAGCCGTTCGTGTACGTTGCACCAACATCTCTGCTGTGAGCTCGAGCACGCGTCGAGATGATCGCAGGCTCAAGCAAAAAGGCGCTCACCGCACGTAACGAAAAAAGCGCAGCGCACAAGAGCACGGGACGAAAAAACGCTCCATGATGGTATCTCTCGGTTGCCGCCAGGACTTTTGCGTGGATCAGCGCGTTCGTCTCGTCTTCGGCAACACGCTCGTCGCGGTCAAAGAGCTTGAACAGCACTTCAAACGACGCTTCCCGGTCGTCGTGGCGGGCAATGAGCCACGTGGGCGAGTCTGGGAGTTTTTGCGCGAGTAGCAACAGCAGCAACGCCGGCACGATACCAGCAAGTGCCAGTGCTTTCCACTCGTTGAGATTGAAGCTGATGTAGTGTCGACTCATGGCCATGAAGAGCGCGCCGAGGGCCAAGTAACTGATTGTGCCGAGCGAGGAAGAGAGGAATAGTTGCGCGCAGAGGACGCGTCCGCGCGTATGCGCAGCACTCACTTCCGCCAAGTAGACGGGTACAATGACGTGGGTGATGCCAGCGGCAGTGCCGAGCAAATACTGTCCAAGGAGAACCGAGAGTTCGCCGTACGCGACACCGACGAGGACCCAGCCAACGAGGGACGGCAGAGCCGCGAGCTCCAACGTACCCGCGCGCCCGAAGCGGTCGCCACAGTAGCCAGCAGCTGCAGCTCCGAGCACGGTCCCCAGGTCGCGACACGAGCAGTAAAAGAACGCTGCGTGTTCGTGGCGCGCTCGGAAGACGTCGACTTGTATGTTGTAGAGGCTAGTGGGGGAGATGGGGAAGAGCGCGAGCCACGTACACGTGACACCTGCCGCGCTCATGGCAGCGACGTGCAGGGCGAAGAAGGCGTTGCATTGGCGGGCGAGGCGCTTGTGGCGGTACTCGGGTCTGCAAATAGTCACGCACATCAATGAATAACAAAGGAATGACTGACTCAATGCACTACTTCGGTCACTGTATCCAGTTGCCACTATAATTTCGACAGGAGGGACCCGACAGATGGCTACATCGACCAATGCAACAGCTCACGCATCGATGGACGGCAGACAAGCAAGCGCACCGGGAATTGACAGGCGTGCTCTCGTTGCTATGCGAGAGCTCAGACACCTGCGAGAGCTCGAGGGGCGCCGAGATGTACTGGTGCGGCACGAACGCAAAGTCGCTGCGCGGCGGGTCCCGTAGACACTCGACGAGGTACAACCAACTGCGCGGTTGTCGATGTGCCGTGTTGGTCGGCATCGAGTTTGGCCTTTGCGCTCGTCGCAACGAGGGCGGTACGTTTGTCTTGAACTGAGTATGCTGAGGCAAAACGAGTGCGCACCGAGTGTTTCGATTGACCCGAGAGGCGGCGATCTTTGCGTGTCAAAGGCGCGTGTGGTTTGTTTAGTCGGGTTTCATCCAATCCCTATCGAGTACTGGTCCTTTTTTGTGTTCGAGGGGTGGTATGTACCCTTTTTGTCCACCTTTTCTAGCACTGCCACAGCGCCGACAGCGCTCAGGACGCACTGCCGCTGTCCGCTGGCGCATATTGCTGCGTCAAGTCGCTGCCCAAGTGCTTTTTCCAGCGGAAAGCGTTGATACACGAGTAGAAAAACGACTGGATCCGCACTTTCGCCGCTTCTCGGCGCGTCTTGGGGAACGGCGTCGTGTCGAGGCACACGACGCCTGGCAACGAGAACATGTCGCTGTAGCCCATGCCAAACACGATCGCGCCCGGACCCCATTCCTTCACGTAATTCGAGAGCTGAGTTGAGATCAGCCGCTTGCTCACAATGTGCGCGCCGTAGTAGTTTTTCGCATCGATCCACCGGATCGGCACGCCATTGATGAGCACAGGGTCCAGCAGCAAAATGTCCGGCGAGATGACGCGGCGGCCGTGACTTGCAAGTTGGTCCGCGCACAACTCGCTTTGGGTCCTACAGTCAACAAGTTCATACGTCAGCCGCAGTCACACAGCATACCGCACCCACGAGTCAGCGCGAACAAACGTCAATGGCGGTTTGTGCAGCCACAGGCGACACGTATGCGATCAACGGCAAACGTACTTGAGACGAATGCCCTTGGCTTTGAGAAAGTGCTCGACGGCCTGTTCGAGCGAGTCGGCATTGTACTGGGGCACACCAAGGAACGGGTCGCTCTTGTGAATACTGTCGTACTCAATCGCCTTCCGCAACTCGTGCTGATCGCGCTTTGACAGATTCTCGCCAGGCCGTGCGAGCGCGTTCTATCGACAACGAAACAACCAAACACATGAACAAGTAGACACACAAACATAAGTAAGTAACAATAGACATGTTCCGTCAATATTTAGGGACCAGCAGCGTCGGCTTTGCCACAATGAAAAAACAAATCACCATCGTACCTTGATTTCCACCTGGCTCTTCCCTCTGGCTCGAAGAATGACTCGCATGAGCGACACAGGCGGGTAGTTATGCACCGTCGAGAGCTCAATCAGACTGCGGCCACTGTCGTATTCATTGCAAATAGCGACTCGATCACGACGAACGCGATGCGTATTGACCAATAACGACATGCGCAACAGCTGTTTGCGCAAGTTGATAGTCATATTGGTCGTGATCGGCAGCATCTGCAGGAGCTCGTCAATGTGGTTCACTTGCTGTCGCTTGAGCCGGCGAAACGTTTCTTGCTGAAGAATTAGTCCTGCGGCTTGAGTCTCCAACACCTGCGGAATCGGCGTCACGGGCCAGTCTTGTTCGATCGGCACAAGGTCACCAAACTTCTTCCGGGCGTTTCGAATGTCATTCTTCGTCAATGCCGTGTAACTCGGTCCATTGCGGTATACCGACGACTGCATCGATGAGTAGACGGACGACATGGCAAAGCACGGATCTAGTCCGACGGCACGCACTCCTTCCATCACTGTTAACGCTCGATCCTTACGGCCTGACTCGAGTGACGTGAGGGACATGATCTCTGGCTCGACTTCCGACAAACGCATCTCCATCAAAATGTCAAAAAATGCATCCGAACGCCACACAATCGACGCGCGCAGTAGCCAGTGCATGTACGTGTGCACGGAAATCGATCGCAGTAGACGAAGCTGCTTCAGCACCTTGATGGCACCATCCAGATACTCCTGGCGGTAGCAAATGTCCAAGAAACGGTTATAGTCGACCAGGTCAAGCTTGATCCCAGCCTTTTCCATCAGATCCCAAAGCTCAATTGTTTCTGCAGCAGCCGACGCTTCGTCACAAGCAGTTAGCAATGTGCGCAGCGTGGACTCCTCCACCTTTCGTCCTTGATTGAGCATCGCACGAACGATACGTATACCCTCAGCTGGTTTCTTTGCCTCGCAGCACGCTAGGACACCTGGCGTCAAAAAGTTCTCGTCCAAGTACGGGTTGCCAAAGTTGCGGTACAAATCAAACAGCTCGTGTGCGCTGTCAAACGACACTTGGCGCAGCTTCGTGATCAACGACGCAACCTCCATCTCACTTGGAAGTGTCTTCTGCAACGCTGCAATCTCCTGCAGTGTCAGTGTAATCTTCCTCGTCTCGACGTCTTTCAGCGGCAGTGGCTCCTTTGGAAGCACCTTTTCTGCCGTGTCGGCAGCTTCAGCTCCACATGCCTTGTCCAGAGCTTGTGTGCTGTTTTTTCGGTTCGCTTGTTTTGTATCCAACGTCGCCACGGCAGCTGCATCAGTATTGGCGTCTTGTTCGATAGCCTTTGCCAGCAGCTGCTCCTCATGGTGCTTCTGGACCACGTTTTTTTTTCGGTGCTTCTGCTTTGGCTTGAGCTTCTTCCTCGGCAACGACTGCGGCTTGTCTGCATCTGCTATATCCGCTGCGTTCCCTTTATCTACTGCAGCAGTAGCAGCAGCAACAGGAGCACCAGTACCACTAGTAACAGGAGTAGCAACTGGGGCAGCAACAGGAGCAGCGGTAGCACCAGTAACAGGAGTAGCAACTGGAGCAGCAACAGGAGCAGCAACAGCAGGTGGCGGTACTTTTTTCTTGACCAATTTACTCTTGCGACGCTTCAGTTTGCTCTGGTTTGCAGCATCTACAGCTGCAGTCACAGTTGGCGCTGCGGAAGGAGATGAAGAAGAAGCACTCGGTAGTGCAGCTGTCTGTGTCAATCGTATCGGTCCATGCGACTGGTACTGGAGTCCGTCGAGCGTCCGCACAGACGGCGGCCGAGGTCCGCAGACCCGTCCGAGGCGTCGAGCCGCAGGTCGCAAAAGCATCGGTCGATTATTGGTCAGGACGAGTTTGAAGTGGCTTTTTGCGAATGTTGCTCGAAGGTCGCACGCACGCACGCGACCGCACAGCGCGTCGAGACCAGTGAAAACCCAGCGACACTGACCGATCGACTGAACGACCGACCGACCGACCGACCGGACGTCTATCTGTCTGTCTGTTTCTTTGCTTATTTGTATCACTGGCAGGCGCGTCCATGGCGGAAGAAGACACAGACGCCGCGGCGTTCGTGAGCGCCTTGTACCGCAAGGTACTGCTCTCGGTCAAGGCGTCGAACGCAGTCGTCTCTGAAGACGACGGCTTCCACTACCACGCGCAGTTCAGTCCCGAGTTTGCGCTGCGGTCGAAGCGCTCCAGTGCCAAAGCCGCAGCGCTCGTGCAGCTGCTCACAAAGCGTCGACGTCCTGCCAAGAGCCAAGAGCGCGACCATAAGCACGACGACGACGACGATGAGGACGATCCACAGGAGCTGTTTGACGGGCCGGAACCGAACACGCGCGTGACGGACTATGCCGATATGTTGCTGGACGAGGCGTCGATGCACTTGGCCCGTTTCATGCGTGGCGAAGGTCCGGACACGTCCGTGACGTCGAAGCCGAGCGGGACACAGTCTGTGGCGAGCAAGCGACAGGTCGTCGAGCAGGGACAAGAAGCGCGGGACAAGCGGTCGACGGCACGGACGCAGCAGAGCAAGCCCCAAGAGCAGTTTGACGAGACGATTGACAACTCGGACGTGCCGTTTGTGTCGAAATTGCGTGAAAAGGTTCACGCGCAGCACGACGGACATATAGCTGGTAGTGCACTGGAAGGTGGCGATGACGACGGAGAAGAAGACGATGACGACGAAGTGGCGCGACGCCATCCGTATTGTCGAGAGATCAGAGGGCTGAAGTATGCTCCGTGGCAATTGGAGGCACCTGACGAGCCGTGTGAGCGGGTCGGACTGGACGAGGCCACGTACATGTGGGTCGACTCGACGGAAAAGCTCGTGCTGATGATGCAGACATTGACAGCTGCCGAAGCTCGTGTGATTGCAGTGGATCTGGAACATCACAGCTACCGATCGTACATGGGACTCACGTGTCTGATGCAAATCTCGACGGTAAATGCAGATTTTCTGGTCGACACGTTAGCGCTGCGAGGCAAGCTGCAGACACTGAATCAGGTGTTCTGTGACCCTGAGAAGGTCAAGGTGTTGCATGGCAGTGACATGGACATTCTGTGGCTGCAGCGCGATTTGGGTCTGTATATCGTCAATCTCTTTGACACGGGCCGCGCGGCACGTCTGCTGCAGTATCCGCGTTTCTCCTTGGCATACATGCTGAAGCGTCACTGCAACGTTGATGCTGACAAGCAGTATCAGCTTGCAGACTGGCGTACTCGTCCGTTAGGCAAGCAAATGGTCAAGTACGCGCGCGAAGATACCCGCTACTTGTTGTTCATTTACGACCGTCTCAAGAAAGAACTGCTGCAAGCTGGAGCAAAGTCCCGTGAGAGTCTGCTTCATCAGACACTACAGAACTCCAGCAAGCTTTGTTTGCAGGTGTATGAGAAGCCGCAGGCCACAGAAGCGGATGCTCTTGCTCTTGGCGAAAAGCTCAAGGACGCTGTAAGCATCCGCATTCTATCCGAGCTCCAGAGACGTGTGCTCGTGGCACTTTATATGTGGCGCGACCGCATCGCTCGACAAGAAGACGAATCGGTGGCGTATGTGATGCCGCACCACGTTCTCATGAAACTTGTCAAGCGTTTGCCTGTACGATCCGATGCGTTGTTTCGCACTTGCCACCCAGTGCCGATGCTGGTCCGTAAGCACGTACTGCAGGTCACCGAGGTGATTCTTGCTGAAAAGCAAAAGCTTGCTGAGGAAGAGACGAAAGTACCGCAAAAGCCCACGCCTGTAGTCGTTGCCAAGCCATCAAGAAAGGTGTGGAACGAGGCCGGAGAAGAACAGATAGTGTCGACGTCGACGTCGAAGCGCGTGGGGCGCGCCGAGCATGCTCCTTGGAAGAATGGCCAGCGTAAGGCTAGTGTCACGACGGCGCTGATTGAATTGTCACCGTCCAGCGATGTTCATCCCATGGCTCTTGGAGCCAGCGGTTCCGAGACTACTGATGAACCAGAGACAGCAAGTACGCTGCTGGAAACAGTGAATGCTATGGTCGCCAGTACGTCGTTCACAATTGCAGAATGCGAGTCGGTCCAGACACCAGTCACGCAGCGCATACTGCTGACGAACATTGCTAGCACAAGCAACAGCAAGGCCGAAACAGCGGCGCCAAAGATCCCGCAGTCCATTGCCGAGACATACCACATGTCGGGTCACTCGAAGCGGCGAAAGATAACGTCCGTGGACACATCTTCGGCACTTCAAGTCCAGGATCGTGCCGAAGCTTTTATGCAAAAGGTTGACGGCGACGGCAGTGAGAAGCACGACACGGAAGACACGAGCAGTTTCCAGGACTTTGACTATGCGGCTGCCAGCGACCAGATCACAGCTGCCAAGTTTCCATCGAACAAGGACGAGGAGGAAGGACGCAACGGACGCAATGGAGGTCGCGGTCGAGGGCGCGGTCGTGGTCGAGGGCGAGGGCGCGGCTACGACAGCAAAACGCCGACTGGCTACAACCCGTTCGTGGCCATGAGTAGCGCGGGCGCCAACCAGTCGTCAAAGAACGGGAAGAACGGACCCAAAGCGGCACAAGTCAAGAAGATGCACCACGTGCCGAGGAGTGCGACGTTCCGATAAGCGCCGGGTCATTAGTGCTGCGATACGGTCTTTTAGTATGCTCTTCTTGTCACTTTTGCCCCCACGCGTCTCGACTCGACAGTTTTGATTGGGCCGGTTCGGCTCGTTTTTGATTGGTCCGAATGTCGTTTTCGTCGATATTGACACCACTTGTAGCTCGTGCCAGTGTGGCAACCGATCACGCCGGTGACGTCCCAATGGCTCCAGGCAACGCGCTTAAGCGCGTCTCGCCCGCGTCGCTCGAGTCCAGTGGCGGTAAGCGCAGTGCAAAGAGGCGCACGTCTCCCAGGAACGCTGCTGGAGAAGTAGGAGGATCTGTGCGCAGGGGCTCGCGCGGGACGGCGGATCGCAGGCTGGACTCTATCGCGACAGGGAAAGAGGCCTTGACGTCCTCTTGCAAGGACGCGGTTGGCGCAAAAGGCGGTCTGGAGGAAGATGCTCAGAGTACGTGCTTGCAGTTTGGCATCTGGGCTCTAGTTTGATGCTTTTGTGGACACTGTAGGCGCCGTAGTACTGAATTATTGGTCTTGTATCGGCCGAACTGTTCCGTAGACGTGGACACTGCTGCTACTGAAGACTCGGACGACAAGAAAAGAGCGGTGAGCAATGGAAAGAGCACGAGTGATGCTGTAGCCAAGTTGGTGACGTCGGAACCATCAAAGAAGCGCTTGCCGCGTGCTAGGAAAACTGTGGCCAGCGTGAAGCCACAAACGAAGACAAAGACTCCTGCGAAAGTCAAGCCAAAAGCCAAGCCCGTGTCCAAAGCTGGGCCGAAGCGGAAAGCACGGACGCAAGAGAATAAGGCGGGGGAGAACGCACCGTTGTCGATGCCGTTTTTTGTCGAGACGGGCGCTGAGTGGAACAACACAAACATTGACTTTGATGAGCTGAGCACTCTACGGTCGCAGTGGGAGCTGCTTGCAGCGTGCCACATTCTCTGGCTTCTGCAAAGTCCTTTGACGCTGCGCTTTTCGGACACGCTGCTTGAGTACGAAGCCGCGTTGCTGAAGCCGGAAGAGAGTCCAGTGCTGGAGGACGTGTTTACAAAATTGCTGCTAAAGAAAAGCGAGCGAGCGTGCCTGAGTGCTGGGATCGGTCTCAAGTACGAGTGGTGGAACAAGCAGCTGCGCGTGTACTACCTCGACATGTACGACAAGTGGTACGCGTTGCTACGCAAGGCCGGCGAGCGGCTTCCAGGCTCTTTTTCGCAAGACGAGGACGATGATGACAGTGATGTCTCGAGCAGCGAGATTGAGGATCCGGTGGATGTGGAACTCACGGACGATGAGTGGCTGACACTCGACATTCTGAAGACACGTCTTAAAACCCTTGGCGTGGTTTGTCCATTGAAGGTGCGTTCTCTGATCGAGTATGTCGCTACTAGCGCGACGTCGTCTCTCACATGCTTCTTCTGCTTGACTCACAGCACCAGTCCTTTGCAGACTTGTCAATCGAGCTGCGATGCAAGATTTTGCTGAACCTGTGTGAGGCCGTGATTGACGACCCCAGCAATACGTGCGTATTCCCTTTGTGCTCGTTTAGCGTGGATGGGTACTTCATTCACGATGGTTGTTGACGCGTCTGCTCACCCATGCGGTTGCTCCTCTTTGCGTCCATTGAATTAGCGAACACATGCGTCAGATGGAGGACGACGACCTGCGTGTAGAGCCACTCGGCAACGACCGCGCTGGGAACTTGTACTATTTTTTCCCGCAGTTTTACGAGGAGCGGCGACTGTATCGATTGGACGTGGAGACACAACAGTGGGCACTGTGGGCAAAGGGGGACGATGCTTTTCGCTCCATGTTCACTGCCATGAAGCGTATTTGTGGACGTAAGATCCGGGGCGAGCAAGAACTGCTGGATCACTTGGAAGTCATTGTAGAGCAGATTGAAGACGAGGCTGAAGCGCGCGCACGGCAAATGGAGAAGGCGAACCGCCTAGCGATTCTCGAGGCAATTCCGCGTAAGCGTTCGCTGCGTCTTCAGGTGAAGCAGCTGGTGCGAATGGAGAAACATCAAGAGGAACTGAAGCACCAGAAGGAACTGTCGATGGAGGAAATCGCCGCGATGAAGCGCGTCGAGTCGTTGCGCAAGGAAGAGCGCGAAGCGGACAAGGAAGTGCGTGACGCCGAGCGCGAGGCACGCCGCTTGCACCGGGAGCAGACCGAGCGCAAGGAGGTGGACGCTAAGCGTACGACTCCGCCCATTTGAGGACAAGGGCAGCGAGACGGGACCAGGGAAGCAGCGGTCAAGCAACGAACAACGAGCACAGAGCTGTTGTGAGACGTAGTAGCGACGCGCCTGTCGGTGGTGTGTGCTGGAGGTGTGGGAGGCGATACGCAGAGAAGGAGAGAGAGAAGACGATGTAGGTAGCGGCGTCGTATGCGAGGGCTGTTAGCAGGTATCAGTGCATCAACGTGCGACGAGCGCAATGGGCGACGAGTGTGCAAATGTGCATGTCTCGGTCCGTCAAGAAGCCACTGGACGGACTCGAGTCCTCTGCAGCAAACAATGAGCGCAACCGTACGACCACTGCCAGTGTGGCGGTAACAGCGGTGGCGATGGATGATGGTATGGACGTGAGTTGGCCGTGTGTAAGGCAGTCGCAGCATTGGTTGTCTCCATGTCCGCCCTCGCGCCTCGGTCTCTTTTCAAATTGATCGATCAATCAATCGATCGATCGACTGACTGACTGACTGACTGACTGATTGGTTCATGTGATTGTTTCGTGTGATTACCACGCGAGCGTCATCACCAATGGGTGTGCTCCGGCAGCGCGCGCCCAGTCCCAGCGCGCAGTAATCACCACCGCATCGCGTCGTCCGCGCGTTGGCGAGACAACGGATTGCTGCTGCGTAGCATCTGTTTCGGGCGGAGAGAGACAGGACCGGCCCAGCCAGACGCTGTGCGTCGACTCGCCAGCTGCGCGCGCGCTTCCCTTCCTCAGCAAACACTCGTTGACAGGCGTCCATCATCATTCGGACCACTTCAATGTCGCGCGCTCGCTCCTGCAGATCGGCCCCGCGGACGTTGAGTCTGGGCGCAGCGACCCAGTGGGGGGGGGGGAGGGGCGATCGGTGCCCGTGAGGCAATTGCACTGTCCAGAGCCCCTCGACCCGCGCGCACACGCGTCAAGTGTGTGGGCTTCTGTTGACGCCATTCGGTACTGTTGTTGACGGCCGTCTCTGGGCCTGTGCGGTACGACGCGGGCGCTAATGGTCGGGAACTGGTCGGCAGCCAAAGTTTCGCACGCGCGTCCGTCCGTTCCGTCGTCGGCCCACGTCTTTGCGTCTGGGAAACGCCGCGAAGGCTGCGACATGCGCTGTCTCGACAAAGAAAAGCCGGAGCAGACGAGGCAGGTCGTCGGCCATCGAACTTGCGTCTTTCCGCCTTCTGCCCAGTAGGTACAGTCCCTTTGAAGCACTCATTCGTCCTGCTGGACTTGCACATAATCCGGACGAGAGACGACGCCCCTGTGGTTGTTAATAGTGGTGTTAGTAGTAGCAGTAGTAGTTGTAGTTGTAGTGTTGGTAGTAGTAGTAGTGTTGGTAGTAGTAGTAGTGTTGGTAGTAGTATTGTTGGTGCTGCTGGTACTGTAGGAGTGTTGTTGTTGTTGTTGTTGTTGTTGTTGTTGTTGTTGTGGTCGCGCCTTCTCCTCTCTCAGTCAGCAAAGAGCTACCCATCGATCACGTCCGATCGACCGTGTGAAACCCACTCACATATACACACACATTGTGCTGTTCACTCACTTATTTTCACTTGCGCGCCCATCCACACACACACACACACCCACACGCACACGACACACACACACACACACACACGTGGACAAGTGCCGGTATACTCTCCACGCCCAACGTCCCACCTGCTCACTTGTTCCATGCTCAGCCACTACGAGCCGCTCGAGACGCTGGCGCCTGCGCTGTTCGGCCACGTGCAAAAGTGGCGACACGTATCGACCGGCGACTACGTGGCGGTCAAGCGCATGGAGCTGCGCTACGCTGCTCGGAAACGCTGCAAGCGCTTGGACCACGTGGTCGAAGAGGATCTCGTTGCGGAGATCAAGACGAATGTGCTCCTCCAGTCGCTCGGTGGCCACCCGAACGTGCTGCCGTTGCTCGACTGCATCATGGAGGACACGGCCGTGCTGCTCGTGCTCCAGTACTGCCACCAAGGCGAGCTCCTGGACGTGCTCAACACGAAGCGAGCGGCTGGGCTGCCGATTCCAGTGCGCCACTACTTTCGACAGACGCTCGCTGGCGCGGCTTTTCTCCATGCACAGGGAATTGCACACCGAGATTTGTCGCTCGAGAACGTCTTGGTGGACGACCGCGAGTGCTGCTACCTCATGGACTTTGGCTTGGCGGTCCAGTGTCGAGGGACGATTGCTGTGAAACCGGTGGGGAAGCTGCGGTACATGGCTCCCGAAGTGTGTGCCTCGTTTGCCTATCTAGAGGATCTGTCAATGGACGAGTACGATCCACTGGGAGCAGACGTGTGGGCACTTGGGGTGATGTTGTACGCGATGGTAGCAGCTCGGTATCCATTCCGGGAACCACTGCGAAAAGACGATCGATTTCGGCTACTGGAAGACTTTGGAGTCGAGTATCTGCTGGAGAAGGACGAGGTGGATGTACGGGAGGAGCAGGACGTGGTGGACCTACTGAAGCTCATGCTGGTCGTCGATCCAGCTAAGCGTCCGACAATGGCCGAGCTCTTGTCACACGTGGCAAAGACGACCGAGGACCGTGACAGTATTGTGGCGACCACACAGCAGATGGGCGACGGTGGTGACGTCGTGTCCTGTACCTCCACAGCTGTTCCGAGCAGCCAAGAGCCTCGACAGCATATGTGGTCGGTTGGCCACTTGACTACTAGTAAGAGTTCGCTGGCGTCGGTGACCCCGTTGTCCGAGGTGGAAAAGCACAAGCAAGCTCTCGCAGCTCCGAGCACTAAGGCACCAGTGGTGGCACCGACGCCTGTTGCTAGCAACGTCGGGTCGAAGCTCCATCGCGTGGGCGGCCGCTTGTTGCGCAAGTGTTTTCCAGCAGCTCGGGCGTAATCGAAGCAGTTAGTTATCTATAAGAGGGACGCACTCTCGCGTAAGCAGAGCACGTCAATCAACCAACGTCCACTAACTATATCCTTAAATGAAGATGCCAACACACATACGCCCACACATGCATACGTCGGCGCACAGATACATACGCAAGCGCAGAGACATACATACATACATACATACATACATACGCACACCCACGTGTATTTGATAAACAGTATCAAGTGAAAGCTATTTCGAGCGAAGGCTGCAGTAACGGTGACAAACAAGTGATAGCTAAGACGGAGCACGTCATTCGTGCAACAATGTGGTGCCGTAAACTTGTGTGTGTGTGTGTGTGTTCTCGGAACAAGATGACGATCGTGACGAGCTCACTGCTCTCTCCATCAGCCGGTGAGCTGCTACTGCCCGCGAGCAGGTGGTTGGCGTGACAGGTTAATCGGTCGGTCGATCATCGATTGATCGAGTCAGCAACTTGCAACGCAGCAGCGTGCAGCCGTTACGGGAAAAGTGGCGATAGCGCGGGCACTGCAGCCACCTCACGATGACAAATCACCGCCATCACCGCGATGACGGAGGCTGACTGCTGACCACGATCGACCGCTCGTCGCGACTCAATGCGTTCGTCTCTCGTACAGTCGTCGTCTGCCTTTCTGCCGACACGGCGTTTCGGCAGACCGATTCCAGGCGGACAATGAATGGACCGCGACTAACGGTCGGCACAAAACGCTTCGCACGCTGAATCTGTGCCATCCGTTTTGCTGACTTTGGGACGACTTTGCCGATCGATGGACGTGATAGCAGACAACGTCCGAGTCCTGGACGTCTGTCGACTCGATTACGAAAGGGAGGAGATAGAGCAGAGCTCTATTGATGGCAGTATCGAACGGTGGTCAGTATTCGACAGAGTTGGCCCGCCGGTGCCAAAACGACGACTTTGTCATGGAGGGGTGGGTGGTCCAGCCATTTATAGTCACACAAAGTTGCCCATCTGTAATTGGGCACTTTGGGGGGCCGTCCTTGCGGTCCGAAGAGCCGGATTGCCGTCAAAGTTACACAATTAGCGATTGCCGAGGCTTACTTCAAAAACGGCTCCAGCGTTCCCCGAAGTAACAAACAAACTACCGCATCCGCTGCGAACATTGGCCATCTCGAAATAGAAACAGCGCGAACTTACAAGACTCTGTAAACTACGATCGAGTCACTTGTTGCTTACGCTGCTCTATGCTCAGCTGATGCCTCCACTCGACGCAATGCTCACAAAGGAAGCACTGACGGCTGGCCATAGATCGTCGCACTTTTCGCGGTCCTTCTCGTGCGTGCTTTCCAACGCCTGCTGTAGTGTCTTGACCCAGTGCTCGAGAGATGGAACCAGACTTGCTGCTTGAGCCTTCGTCGATTTGGCAGCCTTTACTCGAGCCTTCTCCAGCAAATGCACGAGCTGACCGGCTTGGTAGAACGCAGGCCGTTCGAACGGCTCCATGTCTCGTAGTGTATCGCACATGGTGTCCACGTAAGCATCGACAAAGTCGGCGGTAGGGCCGTTCTGCAACCAATGGGTCCGCTCGAGAGCAAACGCCACACACTCTGCTGAGAGTAGCGACACGAGCGTGAACAAATTACGCCAGCGGCTAAGGAGCTCTTGATGATGGGAGAGCTGCGTGGCTTCGGTGTTTTTGCCTCGTCGACGCTTCTTTCCGTGAGCCGCCTGCTCCATCGACTCCACCGCCTTGCGCAAGCCAAGCATGAGCTGAGCCAGCCAGGCAAACAACGAGCTGAGCGACTTGGGTGGTGTGAAGAACTCGGACGGTTGCAAGTCGCAAATCCCGTCCAGCGTTTTCGCCCGTCGCAGTGACTTTTCTGCCAGCAACAGAGTCTCGTCGTTCACGTGCGCGCACTCAGCCATCACCAGAACCTTTGCGTACACTTCCACCAACCGAATAAAGCCAAACGGGTTGGCTTTGTACGCTTCTCCAACTTCGTCGACATTGAACTCAATAATCGGCTCCATGCATTTCTCGAGCGCCTCAACTATTGGACGGACGTGCGTAACGAGACTTTTCACAGTCGATAGCTGAGCAATGTACTCGATCGCACCGAGCACGACGACCGGGTTTAGCGTACCTTCCGACTTTTTGGTCTGCTTTCTCTTCGAGCCAACCACCGTGCCGGATTGGAACTTGTTCATCCGCCACTCATCGAGGAACGATGCCAGTTGCGATGTCAAGAAGGGAAGCTGCTCCCATTGAACCATGCAATCAATCATCGACTCCAACAGCTTTTTGTTAGAGTTCTCGTTCATCTGCATGAGGTTCACGACCAAACGCTCGGCCAAGACGCCCCCGGACAGATCACCCAGATAGCCAATTATTCGCCAAATGGAACTGAGGGCTTCCTGGTCGTAAGGACGGTCTTCGCTGTAAGCAAGAAGAAGCGCTTCAAGTGTCTCGACGTTCAGCTGCTCGCGCAGGAAGCTCTTGCACTCAGAGTATCGATCGTCGCTCATCACTTTCCCGTGCACACTCTTCAGGAGGCTGCCAATTACCTCGAGCACGACGACTTGGCCAACAGCACTAAAACCTTCTTCCTCGTCTTCGTCTTCCTCGTCTTCTTCCTCAGATCCCTGAGGCTGTTTCAGACGCCGCGACACAAAGTTCAGCGAGCAACGAAGCAAAAGGGCAGCCAACTTGCAGACCGATCCGACCGACACGTGCTCAACAGCGTTCGCGTAGAACACCATGGCAGCCTCCGGGTTCTTTCTCACCAGAGACAGACATCGGGCCACTTGCGAGGATCCGCCCACGCTTTGCGGAAAGTACGAATTCAAAAACAACGACACAAGTTGCTTGCACGCGAGAGGCCGATCGCGGTCCATAGTCATGCGGCCAAGTAAGTCGTCTACTGGAACTACGTCGTAGAAGTGCAAGTTTCGGATGCTCTTGATTCGAACGAGCAGTGCACCAAACTCAGCTCGGACTTTCTCGTTGCGGTCATTGATCAGTGGTGCTAGCTGTAAGGTACGCAGCAACGCATTAGTTCAGCTTCAGCCATCCATCTCAGCAACGAAACAAGCTTACCATGGGTAGCAGCGGCTTCAGAATGGAGTGTGAGTTATGATTATCCAAGATGAATCGAACACCTTCAAACACAGCTGCACGAACAGTGCTCGAAGACGCATCGTTCACAAGGTCCACTACAAGCTTCACGACGAAGCGCTGGATCGTCTCAGCTGGAAGCAGCTCCCAGTACACCGAGAGAACCTTAGACACACCTTCAATCGCTGCCACTCGCAGCGCTGGATGAGAATCCCCGAGCAACTCGTCAAACGTGTCAAACTGTTTCTGGAGAGTCACGTCCATCATCTCATTGTTAAACGCTGGATCACGCAGAGGAAAGTTGTCGAACAGCAAAATAGCCGCTTGGCGTCGAACGGAGTCGTTCGGGGCTTTCACACCACGCCACAGAATAGGGCTACAGACACGATAGAGCATCTCGTCAACGCCTTGGTGGCGTTTGTTGTCAAAGAAAATCTGCAGCACTGTGCGGACAGCATGGAACAGCGATGTGCTGCTCGCATGAACCGCGTCCCGCACGTATCGCTGGATACACTCTTCCTCAATCTTTGCTCGAAAAGCTCCCTTGCTTCCCGCCCAAGCCTACAACCATCATCACCACCGCACAGCGCAGTACATCACAGCATACGTCAATCATCTCGGCCTTACGTGCATCGTCTCTAGCAGCCACAAGTGTCGACGCAGTCCCAAAACCGCTACCTGAAAGTAGATACTGCCGTATTTCACCAGGATCGAGTTGCGTTGGTTCGGGATCTGGTTCCGGATCGTCTCGTTGATATCGTCGACAAACGGCACGTGCAGCGTGAACGAAAAGCTCAAGAACGGCACGGCATCCGGCGACCGGAAGAACGTTGGCTGGATGAAACAGCGCAGTAGAATGTCGCGCAAGAGTCCGCTGCTATCGTCGTCAAAGTCCAGCAACGGCAGCGCCTCTTTCACCGCAAACAGCCGTCGAATCGGGTGGTGCTTTGACTGGAAGCGCTCCGTCGCTGCCGACTGGTAGCTGCGGACAATCAAGTACGGAAACAGCTGCGTCACGAGCGAGTGCGCGCGGCCGCAAAAGTTGTGCTTCCAACAGGCTTCGCAGAGCAGCGAGATGGCTTCTTGCGCAGCGGCCACGCGCACAGCGTCACCCCGGAGCCGCATCAGCTGGTCGTGCAGCTCTTGCGCCACCGCAAAGACCTCGTGCTTGTCAATCGACGCGCTCGGCGTCTCGACGAGCACTGTCGTGAACTCGGCAATGCACTTTCGGGCCTCCAGTCGTCGCGCGTCGTCCTCGTGGTCGACGACGACGTCGTCGCGCGGGGCCACGAGCTCGACGGCGGCGGGATAGAACGCCCGCAACTGGTCGCGAGTCAGCGCGCGCACGTCGTCGCGGTCGTCGGCCGCGTCCTGCGTCTCGTCGCTCGGCTGCTGCTGCTGCTGCTGGTGGTGATTCGTGCTCTTGTTCGTGCGCCGCTTGTGACTCGACGGTCTGCGGTGCTGCGCCATCGCTGCGGCGAGCGGACGCGCGTCTCCGCGTTGGAGCGCGACGATCGCGGCCGCTAGGGGCGTCGTCATGTGCAAGGCAGCGTGCGGACAAGAGTGAATGCGTGCGGACAAGAGTGAAGGTCAGTCATTCGAACGAGGGAGTGCGCGGGCAAAGCGGGCTCCCGCGCGAGTGACTCGTCCGCTCGGACCGCGCGATCCACCACATAGTCGGCACACAAAGAGTTGAGTCCCCCACCTGATTGCTTGGACGCGCGCGCAAGAGCGACTGGCAGACCAACCGACCGAGTGACCGACCGAGTGACCGACCGAGTGACTGACTGACTCATTGACTGACTGACTGGTTGCGTGAGTGGCTGACGATGGAGACGGCAGATTTGGTGGTCGATGGCACACGCACGTCGGGCAAAGACATCCGCGAGCAGAACGTGACGGCCGCTGTCGCGATCGCAAACATTGTCAAGAGTTCGCTGGGGCCCGTGGGACTGGACAAGATGCTCGTGGACGACATTGGCGACGTGACGATCACGAACGACGGTGCGACGATCCTCAAGCAGCTGGAGGTGGAGCAGCCTGCGGGCAAGGTCCTGGTGGAGCTCGCTGGTCTCCAGGACCAGGAGGTGGGTGACGGCACGACGTCCGTCGTGATCATTGCGGCAGAGCTGCTAAAGGTGCGTGGACGCGCTATTTGCTGAAGACGGAGAAGAGAGAGGGGGTCGTGTCATGTATCTTGCTGATCGGTACTGTGGTGTGGTGTGGTGCGTTTGCTTTTTGTGTGTGGCAGCGAGCCAACGAGCTGGTAAAGAACAAGATCCACCCGACGTCTATTATCGCAGGATACCGTCTCGCTATGCGGGAAGCCGTCAAGTACATTAAAGAGAACCTGAGCGTGCCAGTGGACTCGATCGGACGCGAGTGTCTCGTCAATGCTGCAAAGACGTGCATGTCGTCAAAGATTCTCGGTCCGGAGAGCGAGTTCTTTGCAAATCTGGTGGTCGACGCTGTGTCGTCGATAAAGGTGGAGCAGGAAGGGGCTAAGGGCAAAGTGAAGGCAAAGTACCCAGTGAGTTCGATCAATGTGCTCAAGGCACATGGAAAAAGCGCGTTAGAGACGCAGTTGGTGGACGGCTTTGCTCTAAATTGCACCAAAGCGTCGCAGCAGATGCCGACGTACATCAAGAATGCCAAGATTGCGCTATTGGACTTTGACTTGCAGCGTCATCGTATGCAGATGGGTGTGCAAGTGGTGGTCAACGACCCGAATGAGCTAGAGAAAATCCGTCAACGCGAGATCGACATTACCAAGGAGAAGATTCATAAAATGATCGATGCTGGTGCCAACGTGATTCTGACCACGAAGGGCATTGATGATCTATGTCTCAAGTACTTTGTCGAGTCAGACTGCATGGGTGTGCGTCGCTGCAAGAAAGAAGACTTGCAGCGTATTGCCAAGGCTACTGGTGGACAGGTTGTACTCACGCTTGCCGACATGGAAGGGGATGAAACGTTTGACCCCTTGACGCTCGGCGAGGCGCAGGAAGTTAGCGAGGAGCGCGTCGGCGATGGTGAGCTGATCTACTTCAAGGGCTGCAAAACGCGTCAGGCCACGACGGTGGTGCTACGTGGTGCCAATGAGAACATGCTTGACGAGATGGACCGCTCCATGCATGATGCGTTCATGGTGGTGAAGCGCATGCTCGAGAGCAACCAGCTTGTTGCTGGTGGTGGCGCTGTGGAAGCAGCTCTGTCGATCTACCTCGAAAACTTTGCCACGACGCTGGGCTCCCGAGAGCAGCTAGCCATCGCTGAGTTTGCCGACGCGCTGTTGGTCATTCCGAAGACATTGGCAGTGAATGCGGCCAAGGACGCGTCGGAATTGGTCGCACGTCTCCGTGCGCACCACAACACATCGCAGAGCGACGTTTCGAAGTCCGATCTGCGTTTCTCGGGCTTGGATCTGCTCGAGGGCAGCGTGCGCAACAATCTGGAAGCTGGTGTCGTGGAGCCTGCTATCAGCAAGATCAAGAGTCTGCGTTTTGCGACTGAGGCTGCTATCACGATTCTGCGAATCGACGACCTGATCAAGCTCAACCCGAAGGAAGAGCCTCAGCAGTAGGCTCTGGCTTTCCATTGACAAGGGGCAGGTAGCGTCTATAATAACACTCGGTTCCCACTTTCTTTTGTTCCTCGCAGCTTTATTCGGAAGCCTGTTGCCATCTGGGCCAAGTCAAGCACCACCACTCGGGGTCTTGCAATATGCGATGTCGTTCGCCACGGATGGATACCAAGTGACTCTGTTGTCGATTGCTAGACACGCAATGGCTCCGACCATTCATGAACACGACATCACCATTACCCTACGTCACTGTAGGGACGGATGTAGGTGCGAGTGTGGTGAAGCCGCTTTTTCAGATCGTAATGATACCACACGTTCCCTACTGATCATGACACACCCGATATCCATCACGCGCGATACCAGGAGCTGTGTATCTGACCCACACCACTGCCAACAGCGTGGCGTGGATGGACCTCCGTGCATCGACACTATCACGAGACAAAGTCTTTGCAACGACACAGCAAAAAACTAGCAGTCGATTGCACTGTCATCGCGCAGACGACAATGTTGCGGTAGACGACGACATGGAGAGGGAGCTCTGCCTGTTAGGACACTCAGTGGCCACTAGACCGCCACCGATCGGGCCGTCAAATAACGAGCACGTAACCAGCAAAAGCTATGGGTCTGTCAGTGGCTGGTTGATCCACGTCGAGGCTGTCTCGACCCCGAGGCGCGAGCTCTTTTGAATCCGTACGACAACGTCACGTAGCTACTCGCAACTCGAAGAACACGTACAATGTATGGCCGCACATACTTCTTTGTCCCAATGCTACGGGATAAAAACCCTGAAGGACCATCGTGAAGAACACTCGCTGTAGGACGGGCGTATCGTGCGCAACGACGAGCTCGTCGACTGCCTCTCGGGGGCTGAAGGAGGCAAAGGCACTTCTAGCGGAGAGCCTCCGAGGCTCTCCTCCGTCCAGTGAATAGATGCACACACACACACACACACACTTACGCATACACATACACATACACACGGCGATACACGCGTGACTACAGTACATCATTACACACGTAGACAGTGGATATGTCGACGCCTGTGCTTGTTATGTCTCCCACCTTCGCGACTCGTGGACACCAATGCGGCAGTCGATTCGATGGTCGTCACGAGCTGAGAGGGGCTACTAATCGAGCGATCTTTGCTGGCTGAGGTTACACCTTCGATCCGAGTCCTTGATGTGGACCACCTCACGACCTGCACGTAACCTAACTGCAGTCAGTGTACATGACGCGAGAAGACGGCTGCATAGTGAACCCAAGTCATTGCATCCTGTCAGCTCTGTTTGCCGTCCTAGAGCCCATGCGTCGCGCGCGGTCACTGCTTCTGGCAGTTGCGCATGTACCATTTGCGTCCTTTGTAACTTCACTGGTGATCGAGAGGTACGACTCGCGACACGATTGCGTCGTGTGGGTGTTAGTGTGGTCGGTGGGTGGGTGGGTGATGGGGTACTACTCACTGCCTCGTGGGGTTACGCTGTGGTTACAACTGAGAATGTGTTGTGCTTGTCTTCCCAATGCAATCAATCACAGCCCCGTCTGTCGACTGCTGACTCATGTGTACGTGACATGGACCATGCACGCCCCTTTTCTGTGCTGTATCGAACTGCCATGCAAACAACTTGTCCCCCGACTCAGGTCCAGCGAGTTCACGAATGGTACGCTGCTGGAAGCTGGCAGACTACGGGACGTTCCCATTGTACCAGGTACTTACTGCTCTGCTGACAGAGGCAGTGGGCTGGTCGTCGGCGCTGACGTCGCTCGCTGTGGTCGTTTTCCAATGCAGTGGTGCCGTTCACAGCTTGTGCGCCGCTGCGTGGCCAGAACTTGACGGGAAAAGTGGCGCTCGTGCTCCGTGGGGAGTGTAACTTTGTGCAGAAAGTGTGGCACGCTGAACGTGCGCTCGCAGCTGCCGTGGTGGTGATGGACAGTGAGCTTCGACACGAGTAAGAATGGTGTCGTGTGCTGCTGCATCGAGCGTGTGTTTCTTGTGGTGAATGTGACGCTGTTATTGCTGGTTGATGCCGCTGCTGCTGCTGCTGCAATAGACCTCCGTATCATATTATCATGATGAAAGATGACGTGGCCAGTGGGATTCGCATCCCATCAGTGTTCATCTCGTACACATCCGGCGAGTGGCTGCTCGATGCCATGAGTCGCGCGGTTCCGTGGGATCCACTACGGGTATCGATTGATGTCAACGGCGAACGTAAGTTGACGATATGTCGTGGTAGAAGGCAGGTGGGAGGTTGTTCGCAATGGACTGTGTGGTTGACGGACGGTTGTTTGTTCTTGTGGTTGTGATGAATGCAGTGCCGCAAGCGTCAACGTCGAATCGCTTGCTAAAGCGCGTGATTGCCTACATTTTTCTTATTTCCATTGTCTGCGCGTTCTCAAGTGGGCTGAGCTTGCTTTCGTCGGTGATTTTCCAGTGGGTTGGAAAGACTCGGCGATCTCGTGTCGCGAAGCAACTGCCGGTCGCTAAGTATGAGCGCAACATGCAACGCACTCTGCTCGAACACCTGCTGGAAAGTCAATTCGTGGTAGATCACATTCCATTCACTGCAATCGAAAACGCAGCTCATGGTTGTGACAGCCATCCGCAATTGGGCAGCGCCTCTGTTGTAGTGACTGCCACTGCAAGTGCGAGCTCATACGAAATGACGCAGACTGTGTCAAGTGGTGGCAGTTTGCTCATCGGGGAGAAACGAGAACGCACAGAACAAGAAAACAAGCTGACCGCGGACGAAAGTACTTACCAGAGCTCCACTGACCCGGATGCCGAAACTTGTTCAATCTGTTTGGACGATTTCGAGGACGGGGCGGACGTGAAAGTCCTTCCTTGTCAGCACTTTTTCCACGTGGACTGCATCAACCCGTGGCTTGAAGGCCGCAGTGGACGCTGCCCACTTTGCAAGCAAGACGCTATCGCCACGAGTATGTCTGGAGCATGGTACGCACCGGAAAGTATACGATGGCTGACCAAGTATTTGTGCGTCCGTGTTGCTTCAGTTGCTGGGGAGGCCAAGAAGGTTTTTGGGTTTCCGCTGCCTAGAATCGATCAGATACTTCAACAGGAACATGTACGTTATACCTGGTCATTGCAGTGGCTCGAAGTCATCGATTACTGACCTGTTGCTTGCTGTGCGTAGTGGATTCATACGTTCTTCCTCATGCTGCCTGCAAGCTTCATCAGCTGCCTTATTGTCAATGCTGCTGCATCCATCATCGGCACAATGTGGCCATAAGAGATCTTCTACTCGACGCGCCCCGCTTCTGCAAGGAAACAGGGGGTATTTATCCTAAGCTCTACAGCGGCGCTGCAATGGGTGTCACCTGCACTCACTTCACGGTTTTGGTACACCAGAGAAGACAAAGATCATCTGAGGAATGCAGCGCAATTGGAAGGTGGTCGATGGGTAACGTCCCTCTCAGCTCTAAACCATCGGCTACCACTTCTGTACAAAATTGGAGAGGACTCGTGCTCAAGACACATGCTGAGATGAAAGTGTGCCGCACACGTACGCATCACACGATGCACAATGTAGAAAGTCTGTCGAGTCATGTTAGCCTGCTGCTTTCGCTATCAAGCCCGACGTATCGTACGTGCAGCAAAGCCTTCACCATTTCGTCGTTCTCCATCGTCGCCGTTTCTCATGTAGCAGCGAACAGCCTTGCCGCAACGAAGCAAGGCGCAAATCATGGGGCACGACGGGACAAACTCGGCTTGTGGCTCACCATGCATGAAGCACCTGGCACATCAACAACGAGATTGAGACTGGAAAATGGTCCAGGCATGATTCCATGCATGCTTGTTGTTTTCCGATAGCGTTGCTATTCGTAGCAGATACCTGCAACAAGGCCGAGTAACAGCTTGCAGCTTCACAATCATATCTTGCTCTTCTCGTGACACCGATGCGAGCTCGTGGTGCCTCGTCATGAGGTTTCTCGCAGCCGAAGCTAGAAATCACGCGAAGCTATGCCACTCGAAACGCAGCGGCTCATTACTGAAAGTTATCTGAGCACGGCACCATGCTCACGCCCTCTAGCACTACCTCCCTCTATCGCAGATCGTCACAGGATCAAGAAAACTTGGCAAGCCAACACTTCGAATCGGTCATTCATCCTCAAAAAATCTCGGTAACGTCACATTGAGGCTGAAAAGTTTGGACGACGAGCGAGTGCACACAGTGTCAGTAGAAGTGATGACAAAGTGTCGCCACGATGTCACACATCAAGCGGTACGCAAGGCCCCACAATTTCGCCCCCACAATGTCCAACACAGATCCGAAGAGCTCACTCTACTATGCGATTGGCGCTACAGATGTGGCTCCCATCATGACCAATGTCAAGAACGGTCGCGAAAATTCGTCATTCGACGACGCCCTGCAGTGTACCAGAAGTACCCAGCGATCCGGTGCACACAACGTCGTCATTTTCGACGACGACAGGCGTCGGCAAACAATGACTTCTTCGACAGAGAAGAGCTCACAAAAGTATCGTAAGTAGATACAAAGGTATCGAGCATCGCGGTGTACATTGCATCCTCGTTCCCCGATACGTTCATGACGTTTCATCTCCGCCGCGAGTTTATTTGGTCGACAAACGCTTGCATCTACCAAGCAGATGAGCAGTATGTACCAGCTTGTTTCTCCATACAGAAAGTTTACACTTGATAGGTATGTGCCCCGTTGGGGACGTCGTCGTCATCAAAAGACTCAAGCGAACGCATCGGCATCGTGATGAACAGCTGCTTCATTTTGCGCTGGAAGCGACGAGCATAAGGCTTTGGCGGGATTGCCGAAACACCGTCTCGCGACTTGCGTAAAACACGCACCTTGTAAGCATGCTCAATCTGCTTTGCAACTGTCCACTCCTGCAAGATGTCCACGAGGCCGAAATAGTACTTGCTCGGTCCCGCAACTTGGTGTGCGCGGTATGCGTGAGTCTTACGGTACGCTGCACGCTCGGCGGAATGCGGGCCTTGTGATGTGTCGGACAGACGCGATCCCGTGGATTCGTCCGCAGAATCGGACAGTCTTGCGCTCTCTAGTACGACTCCGTCTTCATTCGCGGAACGAGGATTACCGTGGAGGTCAGACAGCACAGTTGCATCAGGCTTTTGCTCACGACAGTGCACACTAAGCTCCACCGATTTTCGACGCGAAAGTCCTCTCTCATTTTCTGTCGTGATGGTAAAATGCGAGTAATGCGTGCCGATCAAAAGACTGTAGTCCATGATACCGGCGCTGGCGAGGTAATTGCTATCACGGGTAAGCTGCTTCATCAGCTGTACCGCCAGGTCCGGCTCCAGCTTCAACCGTTTCTTCAGATCGTTGTCTCGTAGCGTGATGTCAGGGTAATGCTCTTCACCAGGCAAAAAACATGGGTCCCCCGGTGCACCTCCAAATGTAAAGAACCGGTTGCACTTCGAGCAGCGATATTTCTCACCCAGAACACAAGCAGGAGCATTGCGGTCTACCCAAGATCCCTTGATATCGTATCGGCGGTGGATCACTTCATTCGTGCTCAAAAAGTTTCCCATCACGATGAAATGGAAAATTTGGCCATACATCTTCATAGCGTGGAAGCCGAAAAAGCGAGGCAGAAGCGTTTCTGGATTCCACCTGAGGTAGTGCAAGTAAGTGGGCAGCAATCGGAGCAGCACCTCCTTTTCTTTCGACGTAGTGCTCTTTACCAAGTACTGGCGATCGCACGTGTTGAACACAAACGCGCCACTTCGACCCTCGCTTATCCGTTCATTGATCGTGGTGCGAAACGCAAAGATGTACTCCACGTCATTGACACCGTATAGTTGGCGAATGGATGCAAACACACGCGGCTGGAAATCATAGAATTGCATTTCCGTCAACGTCATGGGAATGAACGTGAAGCGCATGTTGAGCGGAGTGCCGCACGGTTCTTCCACAACCCGTACATTCGAATTTCTCATTTCTCGCAACATCGGCATGGACCTCGGAGGCACAGTCATCGAGCCCACACTTCCGCTGAATGACAAGGACGACAGCAACTGCCTCATGCTTCGCTGAGGTGATCGCTGCCAGTCTAGTTGGAAGGTGTGGTTGTTCCCATTTGCTCGCCGCATACGGTGATAGTGCTGAACTGACTCGATGATGCCGTTTGTTGCCATCTGGATCATCTGCTTTCGCAACGCCACGTTCAGCTGTGGGTTCATCAATCCATCCTGTGAGTCATCGCGCTTAACGTCGCTTCCTTCAGTGCACACTGAACTGTTATCACCACACGTAGAAAACGACTCCCGCATTGTCAGTCCGTCCTTGTAAGGTGACTGCAGTGTCGAGTCTACTGAGCCCTCGGCGTAAAAGGAAGGGAAAAAGGGCGCGTTGACCACAATCCAGACGATGATGTTGACGCATCCACGCGAAGCATGCAGAAACGCGCTGAGGTCGATAAGCTCTTGGAACAAGGTTTTGCCCAGTGTGGCCTTTACTGTCGCCGTATTCGTCATGGTAAAGAGAAAGATCGTCAAGAACGACCATGAGATGAATACCGCGCATGTGAGCATGCCGTTAGACAGCACGCGACGTCGCACTTCAAACGTCTCCTCCAGTCCGCGACGCAGCCGGATGCGCACGTATGCCATGCAGGCTAGACCAAAGAGCAAATACACCACGACGCACACGTGATACAGGATCCACTGATGCCAGAAGAAGCCAGGCATTTCCGTATTATGATGGAACCAGATAAACCGCTGCTCGCTGGTTTTTGTAGTTTTCGCGCAGTCGGGGTTCGTGTTGTCCATCATGAGGCATTCCACCTCTGTATCACCGAGAGACCATAGCACGAGTCCAGACACAATGCCACTGAGCACCGAGTAGAACCAGTACGCCCTAAAGTTGTGCGTGTACGACGTGAAGGGGTTTGTAATCGACTGCACCATGTCGATGGGAATAGCAAAGAACCAAAACTCGCCTGCAATCAGCAGCGCCTGCGTGATTGCAGCAATGCGGAACGGCATCTCGACCGATTCCGAGAACTCCGTCACGCAGTATTCCGTCATGTAGATCCCAGCCAGCAGTAGGTCCACCAAGCTTTTGCTGACAATCAGAGGATTCGGGTGTGCCCTTACAACGGGACTCGTGGCAAACGCCACGATGATCACCAGCGTAAACGCCCCCGAGGCAATCGCGCCTAGTAGCAAGTACTCGTCGGCGCTGTAGCTCCCCAGGAGTGCAATCGTCGAGCACGCAACGCCCAGTAGCACCAACAATCCTGCAATGGCTACCACAAGACCAGAGCAAGGGCCCGTGACGAGCACTCGGAAGCAGCTGCACACGCTCAACAAAGGGGACCCACGACGAGCCCGTCGTCGAGCCCCACGTTGCTGTCGGTGCTCGAGCTTTGCAAACGAGTCGCTAGGAAAAAGAGAGCAGACAAGCGACACATTGCAAAGAAATCAGAGGCATCAACAGCGTCAGAGAGAGAGAGAGAGAGAGAGAGAGAGAGAGAGAGAGAGACAGTAAGAGAGATATAGAGAGAGGGAGAGAGAGGGAGGGAGAGATAGAGATAGAGAGAGAGATAGAGAGAGAGAGAGGGGTCCTGGTACAGTATACGGTAACGAGCACGCACCCGTGTCGCCCACGCAGCAGCGCATCGCTCTCCGAAGCCGGTGGCAAGCGCCCCATACGAACGAATGAGAGTGCGCGGAGGCCCCAAGTGCGGCGGGTGCGGTGGACGTCGAGGCCGCGGCTCCCGGTGCGGCTCGGGTGGAAATGTTACTGGAGTGTTTCCTGAATGTCGCGCGAGGGTGGACGAGGAGTCGGCTCGTGGCTGCCGAGAGCTGCTGCGCGCTTTCGAGCTGATGGAGGGGGACTTCAGTTGTACCAGTCGAGCTGGTACAAGTGGGTGCATCTGGGCGATGTGGGTGGGTGTTGTGTTTTTTCGTGGTTTGCATCGACGCGAAAGAACATGAGGTGGAGCTAAAGTTGCTCCAACAGAGCGCAAGGCACAAAGACAAAGACGAGCGAAATGCGCTGGACCGCAGCACAGAGTTTCGATATGTATTGTGACACAAGGCGATGACGGGGTACATGAGCAGTTCGAGATGGAAAATCCCATGACCATAGTACGGCAAACATCGTGTTAGCGCTAACCCACAGCAACGGTCCCACCCCCATCAGTTGACTCTATCAATTACGGGCCGAGAAAAAGACGCAACATGCACGCGTCATGTGCCTTGTCGTGGTCAGCATGAAGGGATCATTCATATTCGCTGGGACTGCGAGGACGCAGACAAGTGTTGGGCGTATATAGTGGCTCATTGGACTCGGTCGGACGTCAAGCCCGCTCAAACTACACGAGTACAAAGCAGCTGCGTTATCTAGAACAGCACTAGATCTACCGCCGGGCGTCAGAGCGCAGATCGTCCGCCTGTTCCAGGCACGGCGGAGGCTATGTGCACGACTTGGGTACGGATCTAATGGATAGCCTGTTCAATCAGCTTTGCCACCTTTAGGGACAGCAGAACCGATGGGTGCACAAGCACGAGAGGGCAACCGCCGACCAAGCGAAATCCAAACTACGACGACGACTCCTTCGGCAGCTTCAAGCTGTAGCGGTCAGGGAACACCGTCTTAGCCGGAACGGGGACGGCTGTGTTTTTCTCCGACTAGCGACGGAATGTTTCGCAACCAGGTTCCTCAGCGGCCGTCTGTCTGCTCGGTGGAACCCTCGGAGGCAGCTATCACCACCGGCGGGGGTACTCGAGCGGCTAGAGACGTTGCAACAATCTTGTAAACCGTAAAGCTAATCGACAGCCAGTATCTCTCTCTCTCTCCCTCTCTCTCTCTCTCTCTCTCTCTCTCTCTCTCTCTCTCTCTCTCTCTCTCTCTGCTAATGAGCGTGGAGGGGACGGACACCCACAGACAGACGAACTTCTACACAAGTGAAAGTCTCACACCGAAAACCTTCGGCTTTATTTACACACACACACACTATACACGAATAGCTCTGCCTTTCGGGCTTGCAATGGAAAAAGTGTATGCTACAGATTGGTGGCTACCTCCATCTTCGATTGCGCTGCAGTAAAGAGAGTAGCAGCTGCTGCCGACTAGAGCTCTTCTTTGCAATGAGATACCGATGCCGAAGCGGTCGTAGTCGCTGGCAAAGACACTGTATCGGAGTGTATTTTTGCGACTCGATGCTTCCTCACGCTCTTGCACTCTCATGCTTCTGGCGTACTACCGCCCTGTGCGTCATGGAGGTGGAGAGAGAGAGAGAGGGGGCAAGACACGCGGGTGGGAGGGAGGTCCGATCGTCCATTAGAGCTACTTGTCACTCGTCAGATGTCTGTTGTGTGGAAACCACCTCGGTCATCTACCATGGCACGAACTTTCTCCTACCACGTTTCTCATTCTGCTGGCTCGATGCTCCAGACGTCACGGGGGACACTCTCGAAAGGCCACGTGATAATGACTGTTGACCAAGTCCGGGGTTAGAACTTTGTGCGCACTCTTGGCCGGATGGCTGGGCTGCGCGTCGCTTCGCGCTTCATCTGCTTCAGGGGACAGAGGACGCATGGCTAGGAGGCCTGTTCCACTTAGGAAGTCCTAGCGTGCCATGTTGACGTAAGCCCTGGCCGCTTCCGTGGTGATCGACTTGCTCTGCTCTTCGGGCCGATCCCATTGCACAATCTAGTGCAGACGTGCCCAGGCGCACCACGAGACGAAGAGTATCGTGGCCTGGTGCTTACTCTACATAAACGACCGGTACTGGATCTCAACAGGCCATCACGTTCTTAGGAGAGTTCACTTCGTGGGAGTGGGTATCGCGCGCAGCGAACGAGTCGGCGCGAGGGGAGGCACTTCGTGAAGCGCAGGAACCAACGAAGGCACGGGGATGCCGATCTCTGTTGGCCTTCCCCACGCCGCAGGATGCCGGAGGATTGCTTCCCTCTCGGGTCGCACGCTGCGTTGCCTCCCGTAGCACGCGCAGCGGAGAAAAGGCCTTCCCCCTCTTAACCTTGGCCTTGCTAAGGGGGACTTCCTGTCCAAGGTAAGGGGGCCAGATGACTGGCTCTTAGGAGGTCTTCGCCTCTGTCCGTTGTTGCTCGATGAGTCCAAATTGGGATGTGCGAGACACGCGGGTGTGGTAAGCGAACATGGCCGGAGTCAGAATCTCGCGCGCAGCGTGACCGGAGAATGGGGTTGCTCTTGCACTCGGAGCAGACTCTTTGCAGGAGATGGGGAGTGTGGGGGGGGAACATCGTTTGGAGCTCCGTTCTATGCTCTGGAAACCCCACCTTGCCGTCATGACACTTCCTAGTCGCTTCCACGTGGTCGGCCTGCGTGCTCAACTGGCCGCTTTGCCGGCCAGGGTCATGTACAAATGTGCCTCGAGACACCACTGAAGGCGAGCGCCTGACCTCGTGTTTGCGTGCCGTAGATGAAGCGGCAAGTAATCTCAAGGGGACCGTCACATTCCCAAGAAACTTTCCCGCATGAGACAGGGGTGTACTTGCAGCAATGATGGGAAGGGAAGTTGATTGTGATGGACAGGAGAAAACAGTAGGCATGACAGTGCGGGACAACTGCAGATTGCTCGTCGTCTAGCCGCGCATTGCGTTGCCGCTTGCACGCGCTGACCAGGTAAGATCTACCGTGTACGCGAGCTTGGCCCGGCCCGATACGGGGGACTTTGCGCCTAGGCAAAGGGGGTCAGCTTCCTGACGCTTTAGAGAGCCTCGTCTTGCACGTGTGTGTAGAATGCTGTCACCTGACAAGAGATGCGGTGCTCAGCTAGTCAAAGCCTACGGACTTGCGTACAAATCTACAAGCCAGTGCATCGTCAAAGCCTACAGACGGTCTGCAGGATCGGCAGACACTTTCGTGTCTCGTACCAAAAGTGTGGGGCTACCGGACCAATTGGGCAACTCGTGACATGGTCATGATGCATGCGCATGGATCGGGCGTCGTCATGCAGTGAAGTTGGCCGGGAGTCTCATTGACTCGAGTGCGATCATGCCGGCCCCTTAGAGATTGATTGACAAGCATGGGCGACACGTCTGCGCAGCTCAGTTTCAGCAGGTTCGTGCTTGCACTGGCTCCGGTGGAAACGGCAGCTGGCCACACAGAATTACGAGGCGACAGCTGCGCCCGTCCCGTCCCGTCCCATCCCATCGACCGATTGGGTGCCAATCCTCGGCCTGGACCTTTCTAGCCGCTCTTTTCTCAAGAAAGCGACGTGCGACTCGGACTTGTTGGCACTTTAACATTTGCTCCCTCCCTCGCTCGAGACGGACAACGGCACCACCGACGATGCGCCTCCATACGTTCACGCTCGTCGTGTTCACTGCGGTTCTAGCACACAGCGCGAACTCTGCGAAGACGTCCAACTCGACGACGACGGGAGGTGCTCCCTCGGCTAGTCCTCGTTCCTCTGACGCGTGCTGCGATGACGTCCCTGTTGAGCAGGGGCTGGGTCCACACGAGACCACGGCGGGTGAAGAGAGGATGCCAGAGCTGCATATCTTATCAAAAATCAACGAAGAAGTTGCTCGTCTCGTGAAATTGGTGTATGCGTATGAACGTGAGACCATGCCCGCGGTCGAATACCTTCCTGTGTACGGGCAGCCGGTATTTGATGAGAATGCTATCAAGCACCATTTTCGTGTAAACGAGGCACACAAGACACCCAAAGAGTTGCTGGCAACAGTGCAATTAAGGGTTGTCGAGCTTGAATTGATGCCCGAAGATGGACTGGACATGATTAAAAAGGCTCGCGAATTTTCTACTCCATACCTGAGAGCAGAGGCGGAAGATCAATTTGAGTTGGACCCCAGTGTGCTGTTCGGCATCAGGCTCCAGAAGGCCATGGCCGACGCAGCTGAGCAGGTAGACACTCGCTTAAAACACCCAATTATAAACCTGGACCTTGGCAACTTGGACAGATACAGGAAGAAGTACTACATGCGCCGAGGTAGCAAAGAACTTACGTTGCGAGAAGTGTTATCAAGATGCTTTGGTGGCGATACCGAACTTGGATCGATCCTGTCGATCCTGAATCGCAACAGTAATAACAAACCATATGTGGCGCTCGTGCGAAAGGAGATGATGGCGGGCGTAAAGACGGTTGAAGACGCTGCTGTCAAGCTGGGGATGAGATCACAAACGACGGAAGTCTTGGACAACAAAAACGTGGATATATTTTCCCTGTTCATCGGTACCCTCGCTCGAAAACATCCAGAGCAACATTCAGTCATCGTCGAGCAGCTCACGGAGATATTTGGGGGTCGCCAGGCTGCATTACTGGTTCATAAATCAGTGAAGGCGTGCGCAAAAGAATTCGATGATCTACAAGCAGCGCTGTATAAGCATTTGGTGAAGACCTTTACTTATGATGAGCTGCGCGACGAGATCATGAAGTCAAGGGAAGAAAGAACTGAAAGACCTGGAAGTGTTGGAAGTAATACTGATAAATTCGAGACACGGTGCGAGGATTTGGTTCTCGAAAATTATCTTGCGCCTCCTGAACCCCGTGCGAACCGAAAGAGAAAACGGGCAAGTGACACGAGCGCCGGTCCTTCGTGACCCTATCCGTTGCTAGCAGCCGCCTGCAGATAACCCATAACAATACATGCCATTCGTGAAACAGATCCGTGTTGTGGTAAGATCAATCGGGGCAGGTAGGTCAAATGGTGCTTGCAACCTCGTGGGCACTTTTGTAACGTCTGCACACGTCCAGCGGCGTCACCGATAGCAGTGTGAACATCCGACATGCCCCCACGCGACACGAGTCTGAAGGGCAGGTACAAGCACTCGCCAGGTCAGCGCACGTATCGCGTTTGGACGCGGCTCCTTCCCAACAAACAGCACACGTAACGACATGCTCAAACAGTGTTGGCTCACGAACCGCAAATGCGTGGACGGCTATGACACCGGGACAGCAACATACAGTCACCAACGCTATCGCGCTAGGTATACTCTCTCCACGATCCTGATTGCTATTCAGGCAGTCGGACAACAAGGGTGCTGTGTTATCTACAAGGAAAACCCGTTCGTCCGTCCGGCATAAGCTCGCATCAGATGAGATCTGCTTTGCCTTTCGTAGTAAGTCATCCCACAAGCTTCCGTAGATGTAGCAACCACATCGTGCGTCTTCCATGGACTTACAGCCAGATTACCGCTTCAAATGCGGCTGTGGTCACTGCGCTCGGAAACGGTACCAGAGCTGCGGTTTAGCCCGCCAACATGACGAGCACCCCGTGGACTAAGCCAACCAGTAGGGCTCCTCGCGTTGCTCTAACCGTGTTTGTGCGGTGCAGCCATGTACTCGAACAGGAGCAATGGAAGCCCTCCATGACCGTAGATGTCGAGATAAAGGTCACACATGCTCTAAGAAGTGGCTCGGTCAGCGCCGGTCGTCTTCCACTTTGCTTGACGTTCATCATGGCACCTCCCGGGGAGACCATCCACCAGCGTTTGTTCGTTGTCGCGAACACTAGACCGTAGTCGCGAGTGCGGTGGTCGTCACATCGGGTCCAGAATCGAGAGCAGCACCACATCTGTTCGAGGACAACGAGGCCACGTTTTTTTTCCGGCTCAACTGTCAAGAACGGTCACACACAGTGCAGCTTCAACGGAATATCGCGCGACCCACCACGCGATGGACTCGATCGATTGCAACGCAATGTTGCATCGTATCACGTTCTACCATGACGGCACACGTAACGCGAGCGGTAAAGTCCACTGCGCTGCTATTCCCATCGACCTCGTTCTGCCCAGTAGTTCACACAAAAGAGTCACGTTTAGCTGGACATGTGAGCACGAAATGGGGATCTTGCGTCTTTCGTACTCGATGACCAGCATGCCAATCGAACAGAATCTGTAACAAGTCCGAGCTGCAGCCGTTCCTTACAGCTTGCGAGAAGGTATCTATTGTGCTCAAATGAGAGAAGTCCAATGTCATCAGCGCATAGCACCGCGTGACAAGGCAGCGAAAGCTCTCACGGTAAGTATAAGGAGACACGCGAGCGCACCGCACAAATGACGCAGCACGCACGACGGCAGCATCAGAGCATACACGTCATCGAGTCGCACGAGATCCCCACAAAAGTAACTCTTGACGAATCGAAGTGCAAAGGTCCTGCAACTTTTGCAATCAGTAAAGCTCTCGATACGCCCACGACCCGAAGCTCACTTGTAGAGACATTCGTTCACTTCTTCACACTGCAGAAGGCCGGCTGAGACGTGTCCTTTGCCTCTGGATTCCACCTACGGCAAACGGGATCCTCGATCCACGCACTCATGGCGCCACTTGTATCTCCTTCGTAGGTTTCCTCTGCACACCACGTGGTAACGCATGGATCATGAACCGCAGGGAAGCAGTGCATTGACCGCAGCAGCCGCTGCTCCTTCAGTGCTTCTTCTTTGCTCGTGTCGGCCTGCAACGATTGCTGGATGACAAGACAGCAACCAGCGGCGTAAAGAGCAGGAGAGAGAGAGAGAGAGTGTGTGATGTCCATTCTTGAGTCGGGAAGTCGGAGACTGCATGTTTCTCAGCTTGTACGGGACGTCACAGTGTCGAGCACAAACATGGCGTGGGAGGGAAAGATGTGGACAGACAACGGGAAATAAAGGGCAAAGCGGTTCGTTTACGGAGATCGAGCGACGTGTTTATGGGATCGTATGATGCCCCGTCGGTCAATTAGCACGACGTCGTGGTGTCCAAGTATCAAAGGCCTGAGAGTGGGCGCGCAGACCCAGTGGTGGTCCATTGCTTGTAGCTCTGCCATGACGCTTGAGTCTATCTGATGCGCTGGCAACAGTGGCCGAGAACAAATGGCTGCAGCAAAGAAGACGGAAGAGCTTTTGCCGCGATGTTGAAGTAGATCCGAATGAGACGCGGCGTGCTGGGGCGCACGACATCAGCCACCCCATAAGTTTCTTAGGACACTGGATGTCGGTCTGGTACGAAGCTGCTAAACGCTACAGCCCGATATTCACACACTGACATGAGCTTTGTATTTGTCATGAGTTGCAAAGCCATTGCTGCGTACTCGTGACAGAGAGCATCAACGCCTCAGGACAGCGGAGGTATTCGTCGTGGATTCTGCTGTTCTTCTATCTCTGACGACCAGAGCTTGTGGTCGTGTTTGTCATGCTGCCAGGACAGTGATGCATGAACATGTGACAGAGCTTGAGGACGTCCGTCATGACGAAAGAGCGCTTTTATAACGAGATGTGTGTCGTTTCTCGACTCCAGGGTCTTGACTAACGTTTGTGCGTAAGTAATGAGCAGCAACTTGAATCGCTTGAAATGGTGTCAACGCAACTGCGGAGTCAGGGTCGCCCAGCGCGTTCGTGATGATGTAACAGCACTCCTCCTTTCTCGCTAGCATCGACCTTGATCCAGCCCGTGTTGCAGCTTTCTATTGATGGGCGTGAAGCACCGTCTAGTCGCGTTGCCAAGTTCGTCGTCGCGCGTACATGTAGCTCAAAGAAATACCACGATAGCTGTGACATTGTCCTCGCTACCCCTCGAAAGAGCCTCGTGGACAAGCACTTGCGCAGCTTGTGACTGCTGAGCGACAGGTAAAGAGCTCACCATGTCTACAGCTTCTTGATCGCTCAGAACATCCCAGACACCGTCGCATCCCAGTACGAAGAACGGATAGTCTACCGCTGGCTCAAGCCTGGAGAAGAATATCACGAGCAAGTCACATACGGTCGCGTAGCTCAAGTCGGTTCAGAACAGCATCGTTACCGTGTCGCGCTGGTGTACGGTCGTGCCACTACAAACTGCTTGAGATCCCAATCTCCAAAGCTCCTGCAAACGATGGTTCCACATTAGAATGAAGCACCACGTCTGCGCTAGTGAGATCTAGATACACTACCGGGAGACTGCCAACAAGCCAGACACTCGATGGTGTACGACAAAGCCGCCTCGCTGAATAATCCGCTCCACTTCGCTCAGATCACTAGCCTTATGGTCCTGGACACAGCACATGATTACCAGCTCCTTCGTTGACGACAAGTCTCTTTGCAGGACCCGCGTGGTTTTCTACCTTCGAAAGACGAACTGCTTTCCCTTTGCAGCTAACCACGGCGCGGCTATGAGTTACCGCACACGTTAGTCGCTACACCCTCCAGTCTTTCGATGACGCAAGTCTGACGCACCTATCGCCAACATTGGCAACGTAGAGCATTCTGACACCATGGTCCTCCAGAACCAATGCACTCACTGCCGTGGAGCCCACCGAGCCCTGACAGCACTCCATGTCTGCCATCAAGTAGCCACTTGCAACAACGCACTCAATGCCTCTCGTTCCCTGGCAAACACCTGTCGCAAAAAGGAACAAGTACCGTTCAAGCCGCTGCTCGACAGTGCTTCCATCGTCTGCCAGTTGCAGTTCCGTTGCAATGTTTTCATGCAGCGCGCGCTGTAAATACGTCGAGACGGAACGACCTGCGGCCGACACAAATGTCTCAGTCGGCTCCTGTCGTTTCGACCAGTACATCCGATTCGGATATGTTGGATATGTACACCAGTAAATACACAGCATGGGATTGGAAAACGTACCCCCGTGTCCGTCGTAGACCGCAAAGTATCCATTCTGCGGATTTCGTAAGTATCCATCCACGATGCGGATCGTGTCTTCCATTGTCTTGCGGTACGCGGCATTCTAGCGACACATCGCACACGCACTTCTCCGTAAACAAGAGACCGCACGAACGCGACGCACAGAACAGACACACACACACACACACACGAACGCGACGCACCATTTCCTCGCAGAAACTCACGCCTCGGCAACAACGATAGACGTCACTCATGATTTCGACAGTCCTGGTGCTGTATTTGCTTGAGTATCCCTTTTTGCTTTACTCTCGTCTAAGTTTACCACCCGCGTCACGGGACGTTGGCTACTTATCCCCCCATCGTACCCCCCCAATTGTCAAACTTGATACTACAGGTCGTCGCGTTCGACCCTCAGCGTCCCGACACAAGTGTCCCCTTCGCTCCCGTCCCGTCGAGACCATTCACGCACAGACTTTCGCCGCTGCTGTGCGTCATGAGTCGACTGCGAACGACAGTCGCTGCAGTCGCACTGTCGGCCGTCACGGGCACGACAGTCGCCGCAGTGTCCGTACTAACGTACGTCCGTTTCCAGCACCCGCAGGCGTTCGCCGACGCCAGCGTCCGCACGACGCACCCAGAGCTCCTGGACGCCTACAACCGCAAGTGGGGTCTCTTTGGCACGGGCCTCGCGGACGCCGTCCCCCTGCGCGTCAAGAGGCTGCTGGACGTGCCCGACATGGCCGAGCGCTTTGAGCGGCACAAGAAGGCGCGCGAGGCGCAGATCCGCCAGACGATCGACGAGTTGCGGCCCCAGTAGGCCAAGACGCCGCCAAGTGCCTGTCGCCGCGTGCGTGGGACGGGTGGTATGTGTACACGTTTTGTCGCTCGCAGCGAGTCGGCGCGGCAACGCGATGGGGTCGTCAGAGTATACTCGACTGGTGGGTATACGTTAATAAAGGTATACAGCATCAGACGGAACCGCCGGTGGACGGATACGTCCACACGGGTACACGTCCACGTCTGTAGACGTATACTCTGTTGGACCTCTACGCTGTTTCTCGTATACGCCGTCGCACCACAACTACTGTATTCGACGCTGCACCACGACCATATCCCCCCCTATCGCCAATCCGGCAGAGTACCGTACCACACTAACGCAAGTCAACAGGTGGCAGCAAAAGTCGCATGTACTCAAACTGTGGTTATCGCAGGCCCAACGAGTCCACCTGCAGCATATCCTCCGCTCGACGCACGCACCGCATTCCAATAGACTACGACTACGACCGGTAGCGGCGCAGCGACAGCGTGTTCCGACGCTTCCAGTTCTGGCGGAACGACGAGCCAATGATCTTGTTGGCGCGGTGGCCGCGTTTGCGCAGCCCCCGGCCCTGGCGACCGGCCGACGTGAGGCCGCGCTGCTGGCGGCCCTTGTGCACGGCATTGACGATCCAGTTGATGCGCGGGTCGCGACGGATCACCTTGTGCGAGTGGTCGACCATGATGATCTCAAAGTACTTGTACGTCGCGTCCTGGTTCACCCAGTACGAGTTGAGCACGCGCAAGTTGGTAAACTTGTTGCCCGCGCGCTCTTCGGCCACCGAGCGCAGGTTGCGCTCGAACTTGAGCTCGTTGATGCCGTGGTGCTTGGGCTTGCCGTAGACAATCCCCTTCGAGTTCGGGCGCTTGCGGCCACCGCGACGCACGGCCACTCGCACAATCACGTAGCCCTGCTTGGCCTTGTAGCCGAGACGACGGGCCTTGTCCACGCGCGTGGGGCCCGTCACGCGGTGGATCACCGGCAGCTGACGGTACTCCCACGCACGCACACGCAGCAGAAAGCGCAGCACGTCCGACTGCTTGCGCTTCCAGAGCTCCTCCAGGTACTTGTACGCTCCCATGCTCCTGCGACGATTTTGCTGAATGGGTCGGCCCGCTGCTGCGGGGACCAGCAGCCGCCGCCAGCCAGTCGTTGCGCCCCGCCGCTTCGTGCAACATCGACCTACCGGTTCGACACATACCGCGCGATTTCGGTACGAGACCGGTGGCTCAGCGGACCGATGAGTACCGACCCCAGTACCGACATCGAGCAGCTGCGACGTGTATACCTACCTACCTGCGTATTGAACACCCGCGCACTTGTCAATTTCGGCGGCAGTCCCATGCTGACGACCTTTGCGCGCTCGCCGGTAAGTAGCCGTCTCGCCTGCGGCGTGCGGCAGCCGCGCTGGCTGCATGCGGTCGCCAAGACGACGCAGTTCCACGTGGCGATGCTGGACGGCAACGACGCGGGCATTGCAGTGTTCACGATGGACCGCCCCGACGCACGCAATGCACTGGGCCGCCAGTTCATGGCCGAGTTCCGCCACGCACTTGAGCGCGTCCGCTACGACTCGAGCGTCCGCGTGGTGATCGTCCGCAGTGCGGTTCCCAACGTGTTTTGTGCGGGCGCAGACCTGAAGGAGCGTCTGCACATGACGCCCGCCGAGGTGGGTGGTGGATGTGCTATCTATGGACGGATCGCTCGCTGGCGGTGTGGTGGTATACTTAACGAGGTACAACTCGTGCATCTGTCCATTATTCCTCCATACGCAGGCGGCTGCAAGTTCCCGTGGCTACCGCACGGGGTTCACGGACCTCGAGCAACTGCCGATGCCGACAATTGCAGCGATTGAAGGAGCGGCACTTGGCGGAGGTATGGAGATGGCACTGGCGTGCGACCTGCGCATTGCGGGCGCCAGAGCGGTACTTGGCTTCCCCGAGACGTCGTTGGCGATCCTGCCTGGAGCGGGTGGGACCCAGCGTGCTGCTCGCTTGCTTGGTAAGATGGGTACAGGACTTGCAACAGTTAACCGCTGTCACCGTTGTCGCTCACCTTGTTCTTGGACGTTGGTCTTGTTACGGTGCAGGGATTGCCAAAGCCAAGGAACTCATCTTCACGAGCCGCCGTCTTCCTGCTGAAGCTGCTGAGAAGGTCGGCCTCGTGGACTACGCCGTGCCTGAAGACAAGGCGTATGACAAAGCGCTGGAGATCGCTCGTGAGATTCTGCCCAATGGGCCCGTTGGTGTCCGCATGGCAAAAGAGGCCATCATGAAGGGATCTGGAGTGGACCTTGCGACGGGATTGGCCATTGAGAACGCTTGCTATGCGCAGGTGATCCCGACGAAAGACCGCGTGGAAGGGCTGCGGGCGTTTAAGGAGAAACGCAAACCGCAGTATACAGGCGAGTAAAACTGTCGAATCGGACTGTGTGCTCACCCGACTCGATTCGTGCGGTAGTTGTGCATGATGATAACGACGACGATGAATGGTGATTGGTGGATTTTGAGTCGACTTCTTTGTGCCAATCACATGCGTTGTGGAAGCGACCAAACAAACCCGCCGAGCAGGATATCGATACAGTATAACAGTCACGACACGCAATGGCGGCTGGAGACAAGCAGCCCCACGAACTTAACGAGCCCTGGGCGATATGGGAGCAGCGCGAGCAGGGAAAGAACATGTCGTACGGCGACAAGCTGTTCAAGCTGTGCACGTTCCGCACCGTCGAAGAGTTCTGGGGCTACTGGAACAACATCCCGTCCCCGAGGTACGACCATGACGTCGCTTGTCGACGGGTTAAAGTCGTCGCTTATCGTGTTTTTTCGGTTTCGTATTTGACGGGTTCACGATATGCTGTTGCGGTATACCGGTACGCATTGCAACACACGAGTAGCCAAGTGCTGTTTGATGGCTTTACCCGCAAGAAATTCGCAGACCGGACGGTCGAGGGCTTTGCTGTGTTCAAAGACGGTATTGTACCGGAGTGGGAAGATCCCGAGAACAAGAACGGGGGCGAGTGGTCCATCCGAAAAGGTTATGCGTGTTTGGCACTGTGTCGAGGGGCTCTCAGGATAAAGGCGTTTGTGGTGTGGATCGATTGATCAATTGACTGACTGATTGACTGACTGATTGTGCTGATGCTGATGTTGATGATGCAATGACTACGATGCATTTGTCAGACGTGGGAGCTCAAGAGCTCGATGAGTTTTGGGAGAAACTCGTGCTTGGAGCTGTCGGTGAGCTCATTGATCCGGGCAACGAAGTCACGGGTGTTCGAGTGATTCACAAGGTCGTAGACGGGTTTCTGCTACAGCACAGGGCGATGCGTGGATGGGGCTAACAGTCGGTCTACCGATGTCTGTTTTCTTCCTCCCTGTTGCCATTGTGACTCGGTCACCTGCTGTAACAGAACAACAAGAAGGACAAGAAGGACGCGGGCAACAACTACCGCTTTGAGATCTGGCTGCGAGGCACGAGCCGCTCGAAGGCGGACGAGATCCGCAACAAGACGCTGGAGGTGGTCAACTCGGGCAGCGCGGGCGCCCAGTGGGTGTCCAATGAGTTTCTGTACAAAGAGCACTAGCAGCCTGGACGACGTGCAGTCGCTCACGAGCCACGACGTGGTTGCAGTGCCGCAATCGACTGGTGGTAGTGTAGTCGCACCCACTGGCAGCATGTCGTGCGATCGCTCGATCCCGCAACTGTTGGCGTAGAGCAAACACGTCGACTTGTGTGCAGCACCGTCACGAGCAGAGTGGGGACCGAGACCGTAAAACAAAAAACAACGTGGGCATGTGGGAAAGAGGTCGTGGCGTTTTTGTTGTTGCCGTGTAGTTATGACCCACTCGACATGGCGCGCATAACGCCGTCGGACAAACAAAACAGCCGCAGAAAAAGAAGCATAGCTCGGATGAACACATCGCGGTTACGAACAACAGCCGGGCATTGTCCCGCACTTTAGGCGAACTTAAGCAATTTGCAGCCATTCGGGAGCTCCTCACCTAACGTCGTCGAACATCGATCGTCATGACCAGCAGAATGAAAATGCTCTTCTCGAACGCACCTCCCGACGCGCTCGAGTACGTCAGTGACGACGGCAGTGACAAGGACTGCTGACTACTGATGTGTGTACTAACGTATTGTGGGCTGGGTGGGGGGTGCTGCGTTGTAGGAATTTGCTGTCTCCGAGACGCAAGTTGGTGTACGGATTGTTCGCCTTTGGACCGGGTACAGTGCTGGGGCTATACCTGTACTCTGTAAAGAAGCGCATGGAGCGCGAGAACGAGGCCGCGCGTCTCGAACAGGTGGAAAGTGAGCTGAACGTGGTCCACGCGCGACAGCACAAGGACCTCGTGCTTGCTAATGCTCTTCAGGAGATGCGCGATCGGCTTCGACGACTCGAGGAAGAAGCACTGGCGAGTCGACCGAAACGTGCTGCAACAGGGGCAGAGGCGGCACCGAGTGAAGCAAGAAAGGAAAAGACAGAGACCGTGGAAGACGCGCCAGCTGCACGTGAGAGCAAGATTGACGCAGCGTTGAGCGTGCTAAAGTCCGGCGAGACAGAAGGGAACAACAGGGAGCAGGCGACGACGGTCTTGCCCAGACCGTCAATGGTTGACTCACAAGAACGCAGAGACAAGCACCATCGAGAGATCCTGCAGCAAGACATTGCGGCGTACATTGCCCAGCGAAACGAGTAGACGACGGGCGTGCTTGCTGGAAAAGTGTATGCACACAATCCGAACTTGCGGGTGAGGCGAGAAAACTCGAGTGCTTTAGGACCCTCGTCTGCCAACAAGCTGGCGTGTGATTTCGTGGATGATGTCACGGCAGAGAACAAGACGTCCGACGACTTGTGGTTTGTGGTGGTAGATCTGCACGAGCTTTGCCCGCGCTCATTTGGGGTGCCAGACCTTGCGGCTGTCAATCTGCAGAAAACGTACAACGGAGATATCGAGTCGACGATACCCGTCCATGGCCTCATTCGTCGCGTCAGCTCTGCGCTCATTTCGTTTCGATCCATACCGATGTCGACGGTTTGTTTGCCTTCCGCGGAAACCAGCAGAGGACCGTCTCCACAACAACCGCACGCACGCCCAACTGCATCATGTCGTCAAAAGGGATGACCCTTCAGACGTGTATAGTGTCCACCTGGACACGAGGGCGTCGAAGAGCGATCTACGGGCAAAGCATGACAGCGCGACGAAAACCCCAGTTACGTAGTCGTTATCGACGCAGCTCTCGTGTACTGACGTCGCACTACTTCGTCCGCCAGACGAGTCTCCCGGGGCAGCAATTGCCACTCGTCACTTGAGTCTCAATTAATTCACTTGTCAAGCGTTGAGCCGACGCAAGAGACTCCATCTGTCTTCTATAGTCCACGTCGTCCCTGTACGCAGCGACACGGAGTGCCGCAAGACAGAACGTATGTGTCAAAGCACTCTCCGCTTCCACTTGAACTAGCAACGCACTCTTCTTGACATCAAAACCGACTGCACTTACTTGCTACTCCTTCTCGACGACAAAGACGTCATGACTGTATCCAACAGACACTTTTGACGTACTGATCGACACTTGGATCGAGCAAATTTCCCGCATGGTGTCCTCTAGACATATCAAATGGTATCTTCTAGACGTCATGTACAACTAACATGCGTGTCAGCGAAGCCACTTCGAAGGAGCTGCTGCGACCGAGACAAGAAGCACAGCAACAACAAAAAATCACTGTCGACCATTCTTCAAAAAAGCACACATGCGTTGAAAATGGGCATATCAACAAGGAACATGAGAGCGGCTAGTCCTTCACATAGATACCGACGTCAGAGAAGATCCTCAAGCCGCTCGCCAGTCGCCAAACCTTACAATCCTCTCTCTATCTAGAACTCCTCCGACCGAGGTTTTGCCAAAGCGGGACGCGGCACGGGTGCCGCCGGTACCGAAGGTACCGACTTCGAGCTACTTGGTGGCGATCTACGCGGCGATGCAGTTGGCTTCGACGGGGCTGGCGATGCAGTTGGCTTCGACGGGGCTGGCGACGCAGCACGTGCCGGGCTCGGTGACGGAGCGCGGGCCGGGCTCGGTGATGCAGCTCGTGCTGGGTTCGGTGATGCAGCTCGCGCCGGGTTCGGCGACGGCGTGCGAGACTTCGGGGTCGGCTGCTCATCGCCGTTCACGTAGCTGCCGCTGTCCGAGCCAGGGCTGTGACGGCCAGGCACGCCGCCCTTACCCGTACTGCGGATGGCCTTGGCCTCTTCCTGGTCAATAAAGCGAATGCTGTTGAGCACATACTCCTTGTCCGTCTTCATCTTCTTCAAATTCGCGTTCACCACGTCCTCCTCACTCACAGCCGCATCGATCGCCACGCTGATCTCCTTCAGCAGTTTAATGTCAATCTCCGAAATGTTCTTCTTGAACTTCAGGAGCTCCACAATCCACTGCTCTGACGGGTGCACTGCGTCAGCGAGCTTTGCCTCGTTGTTGCTGCCCTTGTGACTAGAAGAGGAACCGTTTTGACGAGCCATCTTCTTCTGAATGCTTTTGAGCGCAGGAATACGCTCGAGGGTGTCTTCGTCCCAGTTGATCTCTTTGCCCTTCACCTTCAGGTTCTCAATCTCCTTACGCTCCTTGCGACTCGAGTCAAGCCACTTCTCCATGCGCTTAATATCGCGCTCAATGACAAGCTTCAGCCAGTCGAATACATCGCGCACCTCCTTCATTTCGTGGTCCACCTTGAAGCGCTTTGCAAACTCAGCGCACGCCTTCCGGTCGTAGTAGTTGCGGTTCTTGATAAGCTTCTTCGCAGCCTCGAGCTCCGCCTCGCGTGGCAGAATCGGCCTCTCACGCTCAGCGCGACGGCTCCTGACCTTGCCCAACTCGACAGGGTACTTCATGTGCTCAGCCTGCATCTGCTTGTAGCTGTCGATCAGAGCACGCGCGCGCTGCTCGATCAGATCAGCTTCTGAGCGACGCACGTGCGACTCCTTCGCGAGCGAAGTCTTCTCAGTGGCACACAAGGCACTCTCCTCGCTGTCCATGCGCTCCATGAACGCGTTAATGGAGTCGATCTCGCCCTCAAGCTGCGAGGAAGCGTGCTGCAAACTCTCCTCTTCCTCCAGGAGACGGTTCGTCAGCATCTCGAACGCCTCGGCCAGCTGTTGCAGAAGACTGCGGATTTGCGACGTCATCATCATGTCCTCGTCCTTCTCCTGTGGCTTCGAAACGCTGTACACTTCTTCGACTTGCGCCCACACCTGACGCTTGTCCACCTTCTCCTTCGCGTAATCGCGGCTCATAGCAAGTTCCTTCACGACGCTCTTAATGTCAGCCTCATCATCCTTCTGCAGACGAGAAGACTCCTTCAAGTCTTCCGTACGCTCATTGCGGCCGGCTTCAAGAATCTTCATGTCCTTCTTGCCAAGGTCGGCGGCGTGGCCAGTCACGTATTGATACCAGTTCTCCGATGACTTGAGCATCTCCACCTTGTGCTCGCCATTCAGAATGCGCTGCTTCTGGCGCATGATACGCTCCTCCTGGTCGATCACACGGTGCGTGAAGTGCTGCACCAGTTTCTGCAGATCAGCAGCACGCACAGCCTGCTTGACAAGACGGTTCGCCTCCACCTTCTTGCGGCTCGAGTGTCCGTGCAAAGCATCGAGTACCCAGTTGCCAGCGTTGTTCATCAACTCAGTAATGAGACGCTTCTTCTCCTCACGCTTAGCTTCTTCGTCCGCCAACAACTTCGTCTCCGTTTCTATCAGCTTGTCGAACTGGTCAATCATCTTTTCTTCCTGCGTAGCATTCGTTACCTCCTCTTCCAGGCTCTTGATGTGCTGGTTCATGCGCTCTAGCAGAGACGCGCAGAGCTTGTTTTCCGTCTCCAGCTGGACAGCCTGGTCATCCAACTCCTTCTGGAACTGGGCACGGCGGCGGCGCACGTCGTTCATGAACTCGTCACGCTCGTCCACCTCGACATCGCCACCCTCCTGCGGAATGCGCTTGTTGCTGTCCTTCACAGCGTGCAACTCGCTGGCGCGAACCTTCATGTCAGCCTCAAGACGAGCAACGTACTCGGGCGTAATGACCAGAGCGTTGCGGGCTTCATCCAAAGTGTTTTTGCAATCCTCACAGTGTTCATCGAACAGCATGCAGTCTGCCTTGCGCTCCTCGGTGAGGGCAGCACGCTTGAACAACAGCATGCGCTGCGACTTGATCTGGCGGGCCAGCTGATCGCTGAAAACATCCGTGCGCTTCTTGCCACGAGTAATACGCGCAGTGTGCTCGTCCAGACGCAACTTCGTGGTGTTGATGCGCTGCGTTTGCACAACGCGCCACTCTTGCTCGTACTCTTCATCGAGAGCCTGGTGGCGCGAGCGGCGCTGAGCAATCGAGCGTGTGCGGGCATTGATCTCCGTCTTGAGTGCCAAGAGGTCGGCCTCGATAGTCTTCACCTTCTTCTGACGAGCCTCCGCCTCCAGACGTACGTACTCGTGCTCCTGTTTGTAGCGGGCATCCTCGTCACGACACATCTCGTCTTCGCGCTTCATGTTCGCCCGGCTGCTCGTCCAGTGCTCACGCTCCTTGGCAAGCTTCATCCATTCACCATCGACGAGGTTACCTTCTTCCTCCAACAGCTCTGGCTCCTTCTCCTGGATCTTCACAAACTGCGTGTGCAGGTCAATGAGCTCACGTGGCACCTTGTTCTTTTGTTCCTGCGACGAGTGGAAGATGCCGTACGAATGCACGATAAAGTCGTTGGCAATGTCCTTCGACACAGCAGGATTGTGGGCCTCTGACCAGTCAGCACGGTGCTTTGACCACTGGGCCATGTCGTTGTTCCATTGCGTCGTGTCCTGCTGGAAGCTGTCTTTCGACTTGGTGAACTCGACCTTCTCCTTGATCCGCGTCTCTTCCTCCGTATTACGCACCGTCTGGTCACGCACAACGTCAAAGAACAGAATGTGCGTCGTGCTCGACTGCTTCTCGTAGCGCTCCTTCTCACGCTCCATGCGCTCCGTCTGCGTCTCCTTGCGCGCCTCAAGTGCCTTGAAGCGAAAGACCGCCTGCTCACGACGAATGTTCTGCGCGGCATCGCGCTTCTTCTGCTCCTCGGCACGAGCCGCCTGCTGCGCGAGACGCATCTTTTGCTTCTTCTGGCGACTGATCAGACCGTTCACCTTGGTGCGGATCTGAGCCTTCTCTAGCTCCAGACGCAGCGACTTGATCAGCGTATTGTACTCGTCCGTGTCGTACATGGACTTGCTGCCACTCTTCTGGAGCTGACGCAACTGGTCGGTCGGCAGCGCCAAGAACGCCTTCAGACAATCAGCGTCCCGCAGCAGCGGATGCAGCATACACCCGTACAAGAACGTCTGCAGCACTTTCTCCCGCTCACCGCGCGACGTGCGCTTGTCGGGGAAGTTCGGCAGCGCTTTCGGGTTGGAAAAGTCCCCGAGCTTGACAAACAGCCACTCAAAGTCGGCCATGCTGCGCTCTTCGAGGATCTGGTACTCGTGCGTGACCGCGCGGTCCGACTCGGTCACCGTGTAGTTCGCAGCGCGCGCGGCAGCTTCGTTCGGCTCGCAGTACGTCTTCAGCATGTACGTCTCCGTGTCGGGCGTGTTCCCACTCGACTTGGCCGTGATGTTCACGAGGATGTCGAGCTTCGTCAAGTACTCAAAGCCCGCGGGCGGCTTCGACACGGGGTCCATTACGGGCTTAATGAACTTGGGCGGGCTCTCATTGCACGACGTGCAGTGGCGCACGGGCACGGGGAACCCGAGCTCAGGAATCGGCTTCGACTCGACACTGCACTGCGTGCAGACACTGCGCGTACAGCGTCGACAGTGGTGCTGCCGTCGCCCGAGCTTGAACGGCCGGAAGCACACTTGGCACTCGGTCTGGTCGCTCCGGGCCGTGTCCGAGACAAAGTGACTCGTCGCGTCGTTGCTCAAGACGCTCGAGTCGCGCGACCGCCCCGACTCGTCGCGGCTCCGGGCGCTCGGGTCCTGCAAGTTCCGGTACGCGTCGTTGATCTTCTCGAGCGTCTCCTGGTCCTCGACTTTGGTCGGGTCCATGAGCCGCGACTTCTTCTTGTACTGCGCCGCGATCTCCTCGGGCGTCGCGTCTTTCGACACGCCGAGCACGTCGTAGCTCTCTTGGCCCGACGTGGACCGCGTCACGGGGCCGCGGCGCTGGGCAAACACGTCGGCCGGCGTCGTGATGGCCTTCATCTGCAGCGCCGTGATGCAGTTGCGGCAGCACCGCTGCTGCGCGTTGCCGTAGCCGAACGACGCGGGCACTTGGATCTTGTGGTTCACACAGGGCCGGCAGAAGAGCAGCCCGCACACGCGGCAGTGGTGGCGCCGCGGCTTGGGGAACCCAAACGTCGCTTTGCAGTCCATGCACTCGTTGCTGAAGTTGTCGGGCACCCAGAGCTTCTCGAGGCCCGCGACGTCGGACGGGACGCCGTCGAGCGACCCGCGGCCGCTGTGGTCGTGCATTCGGCCCTCGCTGGGCGCGCGCGTGGACTGCGCGGCCGGCAGCGGCCGACGCTGCGACGCCGACAGCGACACGGACGGCGGCATGGGCGACGGCCGCGCAGCGGCCGGAGCGGTACTGGCTGCGGTCGGCGCGGGGGCGTTGGTCTGCACGGGCCGACCGCCGGTTGACGCAGAGGCCGCCGCTGGCGTCGCGTTCGGCGCGGGGTCCGGTGGGGGGGTCGTGGCCGTTGGCACAGGCGCTGGAGCGGTCGGCTTTGGAGGCGCAGTGGCCGCTGGTGAGGGGTCAGCGGGTGTAAGTGCGGGGGGTGGAGCAGCGGCGGCGGTCGATGCCGCGTCGGGCGATGTCGCCTGTGTGTCGACGGCGGCCGGCAGCTTCCGTTGCGACAGGGAGAAGCTGACTTTCGTGCCGCAGTAGATGCAAAAGGCGTCGGCTTCGGACACGTCGCGGCCGCACTTGACGCACGCGAGGCCGGCGGTTGCGGCCGTGGGGACTGTCGCGGGCTCGGAGCTTCCTGCCATCTCCGCGCGCAGATCGGTCAGTCAGTCAGTCGTCGTCGTCGAATGTGCGCTGTGGGAGTGGCCGAGCGACGAACGGGCGGACGGGCGGACGGACGGGCGCGCGAGATGCAGCAAGTGGAGTTGTGAGAAAGCCACGACAGGAGGGGAGGAGAGGGGAGAGCGCGAGCGAGCGAGCGAGCGCGCGAGGGATTGGGCGCTGCACACACTGCTCCTGTTGCTGTTCGTATTGTCACTGGTACAAAACGGGCTGCGGCGACTGCCTCTGTGGTTACTGCGGCGCGCGTGCGAGAGAGAGGCCGCGCGACCGATCGATCGGGCGAGCGAGCGAGCGACGACAAGGACGGGAGGGAGGACGGGAGGGGGGGGGGGGGCAGACTGTGCGCCTGCTGTTGAGGCGCAGCTCCGCTCCCGCACGTAAGTCGGGAGGTCGTCACGTTGTTGCGGCAGCTGACCAGGTCGTGGCCCAGAGGGTGGAGGGGCCGCCTGCTGGAGCCAGTGGCGAGCGAGCGAGTGAGCAGGTGCCGCCCACTCCTCACCCGCTCGCTCGCACCCACATACAGTTGGACCGCACGACGCTCGAGGTCGTATAAGAAGTGTTACAAGAAGAAGAAGAAGGAGGAGGAGGAGGAGGAGGATACGGTCCTTTGCATTTGGTAAAAGAGGGCGAGAAGATATGCGGACGTCGCTGTCTGCGCTCGTGTCGAGAGCCACTGGATCGGCAGCGAACCCGTCCGACGGTACGGTCTCGATCGGTCGCAGACGATGCTGACGGAGCGGCAACGCACGATCGGAGTGGCCACGACGCAAGCGATGGGGTCTCCCAGCAGACCCTATCGCTGCGGTCGAAGATGGCAAGCGGTCGGTGTTTTGACCGACTTGCGCGTCACTTTGCCGTGTATGGCTACGTTGGCGCCCGTTTCGAGCCGCACTTTGTCGTTTACAACGTGACGCAGGGACGAAGATGACACATTTGGCAAGTGAAAGGCGCGATGTAGTACAAAAGACGAGGAAAGAGCCAGGGCGGCTTACGACGTGGAAGAGCCGGATGCGTGTGAACGCACCCTCAAAACGACCGGCCGCTCACTTTGCGCAGTCAGTCGGTTAGTCAGTCAGTCGGTTAGTCAGCCAGTCAGTCAGTCAGTCAGTCAGTCAGTCAGTCAGTCAGTCAGTCAGTCAGTCAGTCAGTCAGTCAGTCAGTCAGTCAGTCAGTCAGTCAGTCAGTCAGTCAGTCAGTCGGTTAGTCGGTCAATGATAGTAGTGGTCCCCTCGAAATTCATCGTGCACGCGATACATTCGTTCGCTACTGACGCACTGGAAAATGACCGCCGCTATGATCGTCTGCACGTCGTGGATCGTCGATCTTGTGTGGCCGCGAAAGCGCGCGTAGAATGAGGCCTGGCGACGAGCGCCGGCTATACGTTCCGGACGTCCTTGTCGGGCGTCGCGTTGGACGACCCAACGCGAGGTTGAGAAGAGAGCCCGCCGATACGTTGACAGTATGCCGGGAGTCCTCAGTTGCCCTGCGATAGGCTTCGCGTTACTCACGGCGTGATATTGACCAGTGTGCACTTCCAGTCCCCATGCGACTTATGTGAGGCCACGAGGTCGCGTCGTGACTGCAACGCACACATACTTTTTTTATTTAAATCGCCGTCACATTCACACGTGCGTCCGTCCGTCCGTCCGTCTGCTCGCTCGTGCGTCCTTCACTTCGTCGTGCACAGAATGACGCATTCCTGACCGGGCGCAACGTGGTCCGAACTCGACAAGGCACACCCTCGTGGTCCTTTCTGCTCGAGCGGCTGGAAGTGCCGCGTCGCGACTGGAGGTCGTAGACGTGGGGTCTGCCCCACCTGCCACTCCAACAGACCACCTGCTCGTCAGCTCACGTTGAAGTTGTTGGCCCCACGCGTCGTGACTCGCTAAACGGAGTCCGACGCGCTCATTCTTACGGTTTTTAAATGAGCAAACGTCGTCGAGTGATACGACGTGTCTGTCATTGCGTATTGGTCTCATTTCTCTCCTGCTTAGAGATCATCAAGTAGTCGTACGTTACGTTATGTTGCAGTGAGGACGAAACTAGTAACGAGCGCTGGCGAGGGACACAAAAAAGCAGTGGACGAATCCGTTTTCGCCTCGAGTGCACATTTCAATACGTCCTCTAGAGCTCATTCGTCTACTTGCTCCACTAGCCCTGCACGGGTCTGGCTATGGCGCTGCCTTCACAGCGCCTGTTCTTGCTTGTAAGCGATGCGGCACAGACGCGATTGATGCCGCGCACTACGCACGCTCGTCATATTGTCCAGGAGCCACCAGGCGACGCTGAGAACGAACTCGATGCAACATCAAGTACGCAATGTGTGGACGGACAATCTTGACGAGATGCGACAAGGAGTGGACAAGGACGGCAAGTTGGTAGTCGAGCTTGCCCAGCGCAACGAGGTACGCCTTCTTCTACAAAGCTTATCGTTCGTCGTGACGAACGGATAGACAATGGGCAGTCGTGGGTTTGCGATCCGTGGGCGCATGCTGCCAAATTGTGCAATGGCTTTGATGCAAACGAATGACCAGGAAGTCAGTCTCAAGCGCTATGGGATGGCTATCGGTACAGGTTTGATTTTGCATGACATTCTTTCGGCCACTTGGGACGTTGCAGCTTACGTTCGTGACTCGCGTTCATTAGGCGTTGCCAATGTGGACTCGTTGACGCACCCGTCAACGAGTCGTCGAAGGAACTGACAATGCACGAACATGAACAATTGTTGCAGTGACTGGACCACACCTGCTGCTGTTTCTCAGCAACAACAACCAAGGTAAAGCAATTCATTCGTCGATGGCTTGCGCGATACATTTGTGCCGGAGATGTCTTTGTCTCGTGCTCCATGCAGGCACGAACGACAACGTGGCGACCTCTCTCTCCACGTTCCACAACTTACGCTCCAGACGTGGTCGCAGCATTGTTGCAAGGACCAGGCGTAGTAGCTCGCATGTAACCCCTAGACCTTTGCACTTGCTTGAAGGTAGCGGTGCATTGACGCGCACTACCACTGCCTGACCCGCTGACTTACCCGACCGACTGAATAGACCAACACACGTCTGCGCAATCAGAAAAGACTGGTGAAAAGCAAAGGAAACGATCGACGCAAACGCCCAGTCTAGGTTCGCCCCTCGACATGTACGCTCGAGTGGTACAGTTGCTTGCGCGCTATGTTGCGCCAAGTCTGTCGTGATGCGTCTCCGCGCACCTTCAGTATAGCGCAACATAATTTCTGCATTGATCCTCGCCGTCCATCAACCCGACGAGTCTGATGCTCGTGGGGTCCCACCGCGCCGCGTCGTCGGCACTGCGCCGCTGTCGCGTGCCACTTCGTGCCGCTTTGTCCACCTCTACAGATCCATCGAACGTCCCGCTTTCCACGGGCCCAAGTCCCGCCAAGCGCAAGAAGATCCTGTCCATGCAGGCGTCTCCAGCTCAGAATCTGCGCAACGCTCTGGAAGCTCTGGACGAAATGATTGAGGAAGCGGACCGCAAAGTCGTGAAGAAGTACCGACCGAATGTGTTTGCCGAGTTCAAGCAGCTTAACGACACCGAAGGCAAAGTGCGGGAAGGTGCCGATCTTCTTGTGGAAGTAGACAAAGCTACGCACGTTCCGTCGCTCTGGGCGAAAACGCTAGACGGCAAGAAGGTGGATGTTCGAGCTTTGGTAAATACAGGCAAAGCGGTCACGCTCGTGCTCACGTGTTTCAAGAACTACGGTCTGAACATGCTACCGACGTGGCGGGATGGGTTTGTCGCTGCGCTGAGCAATTCGCAAGGCCAACTGGACACGCGAGTACAGACAGTGACGCTCAATGTGATTGAAGAATGGTACATGAAGGTCGTGGGTGGCAGCATCACGAGGGGCTTGCAGGAAAAGATACCCAAGGAGTTGCATGCCACGACGCTCGCACACTTCGGACGCTGTGATGACTTTCGGACGGCTATGGCGTTGGACAATAGTTTTGTGGGCTACGCACACCTTGTGGACGCAAAAGGACGTATCCGCTGGATGTAAGTGGATGGAGATCTGCGGTTGTAAGTGGTTGTCTGTGGACTAACGTGGTTGCGGGATTTGCTGTGTTTGTTTGTGTGTTGTACTGCTAGCGCTGGAGGACCAGCGACGCCGAAGGAGCTGGAGCGATTAGCGAACGTGACGCAAGAGTTGCTCGCACAAAGCTCACCGGCTCGTCGTCGATAAGTTGATCGATCCCTTGCTTGATAAAGTGTTGTTGCACGAGCCCGTGGTGTACGAGTACGAGAGTTGGCAATCCATGCCGCGTACAGTTGTGATAATGAACGTACAGCACCGGCACGTACAACATAACAGAACCTTTCTAGGCGTCCCGGATCAATGCACTCGTCAAGTTTTTGCTGTAGGATGGAGTCAATGCAGCCCAAGTACACTGAAAACCACTTGCGCTTGATCGCACTCCCAAACAACGCTCGGGCAAACTGACGACGAACAACCATTATAGATCCGGACAGGTAAACTAAACACGTGGCATCATGCGTAATGAATGCACATGCTGTACTACACTTCAATGACTGCAGGCGATGTGGTGCATATCACTGCACAACAAGTTCAGACCTCTGCGTATCGTTTTCTTCTGTCCATTGCCAGCAGCAACATCGCGTTTACCAGAAATAATCTTGCGACACAATGATAAAACAGTCGAATGCTTTGGTCGTGTATGGCCATTTCCATGCTGAACAGTAAACTGCGTGTTCTTCGGTCCATTGAGGCAGACAAAAGCGGCAGGTGAACGATCCATCACGCAGGACGGAACTACGTCGTATTACATTGTCGAGCGAGCGCAGTGCCGATAACACTGTGTTACGCACCCACACGTCACGGGGCTACGTGGTGGCTACAATCACTTGTGGTCACGCTATGTCCTTCGTGCTATACCTGGTGGTATAGAGCAACGTGATGACTGGAGAGACGCGTCATCACTCGCCACAGTGCCTCTACAGCACGAATTCGGAAGGACAAGAGTCCTTCCAAAGTCGTGCTGCCCGTGTCTACAAGACACAAACATGACTACGTCCTACGTACGTAACGCTGAGTTCCACTTGCGCTGCCAGCGAGGGCGCTCAGCATCGCGGAGATTTGTACCGTCTCCCGCTCGCGATGCCACTCTGCGCGCCACTGCTCTATCAACGAGCGAGTTCGTCAGCCCGACGATTTGCCTTTTATCCGGTTGGATGTCAAGTCAAGTCGACCCGGTTTGCGGGGGGCCCCGGGGCGGTGGGCTCAGTAACGGTGACGCATCAAGAGCGGCTGCCGTGATTGTCGTGGTGATGGGTGGGTCTGACCTTGTTCTACTTGCTGTCAACTCGGCGCGTACAGAAACAACTGTGCACCGTTACACGCAGTCATAAGACGCATGCGACTATGCAAGAAGGAAGCCGCAGTAACGGCTGCGTGCGAGCTTCGATCTTATCCCTCTTATTCGTAGAAGCATATGGCCAGATGCACAGCTGCGCGCAAAGTGACGCGTCTGACACGCAGCCACCGCAGGTCCAGACGTTTCGAACGAATGAAGCAGTGGCTGGTATGAATTTGGATGTCAACATCATGTCGAACAGGCCCTTTGCGCTTATGCTGATGACAGTATAAACTATCTACTATCTTGACAAGGTAGGCAAAAGCTCTGAGTCTCGCATATACTATCAAGTGTTGAAGAAGTGCAGTCAAGCAATGGTGACGATCCGTAAATCGAAAAAAGGAGCAAATCTCATTACCAGTACCACAAATGTAACGGGACACGCTCTTGTCAGATGACTGGCAAGACCTTGTGTTGACTGAACACACGGCTGCGTGCTCCCGACGTCACGTACACGTGACGAGGAAGCGCGAACGAAGCAAACAGAACCCGAAAGCTCTGTCTGAGGGAAAAGTAGAACTGTATTTAATATAGTTATGTTTCTTTTATAAACCATCTTTGTCTTCATCTAACTATATTCAGCTACAATCTCCTATGTGGGTTTCTTGCTCAACACCCGTTGCGCGCGTCCAGCAGCGATTGGTGGTTAATTTGGTTGATGTGCACGGAACATCAACCAAGAAGTGAAGCAACCACGAATATTACCCTCAAGGGTAATATTCTGCCAACATTACCTCTTGTCGATTAATGTCAACTCAATATTATCTAAATAGACAAATCTCAAAAATTGATACATTCGTATCAATTTTTATGTAACGGGCTCACCCCGTTACATCACCCCCCTTGACCATCAGTCACTCTAGTGAGTGATTCAATTGATTTGTGGAGAAGCGCGAAGGAAGAATGACGAAAGTGTGGATCGCGCGATTCACCTTAGTTACGAAACCAGTTTGATTGGTGGAGCGCGTACGGAGATGGCCCTGTTGGGACGAGGATGGTGACTGATTGAAGGAAAACGACTGTCCGAGTCGCGCAGGTTGATCCACCGTCTATCCTGGATACCGCTGGTGGTGTGGATCACATAATGGGTGTGGATCACATAATTGGTGTGGATCATATACCGCGATCCACTAAACCGCGGTCCACATAGTATCTGCTGTGGACCACATGAGGTAAGAGATGAATGAAATAGGCAGTCGGTGCACAACAGTTGACCTAGCGAACAGATATGCATAGCCATAGGGTTTGGGTTTGGTTGGTTGACATTAAACAGAATTGAATTTGCAACGAAAGACACGCGTCGACTTCCCCCGGGCAGGATCTTTGGCCTCTTGTTGAATAGAGAGTCACCCACGTCTCTGCAAACTTCGCCCTTGGATTGTTTGGCCAGACGGAACGTCAATTCTCACCCCCTTCAACTGCGATAGGACGCAGTGAACCTTACGGTTCAGATTCATGATCGCGAGACGGCTCAATTGGTCAGAAGGCTCGCGTACCAAGCATCACCCCTGGCAAAAGCGACTCTAGGAGAGCGGCCAAGTCACAAGCGATCGAGTGAAGAACTTCCACGCGGTCCGCACCTACGTTTGACCAGGTGAAGGATTTCCACCCGATCAACACCTATCCGTAAGACGGTCAAGTTCAGCTTCAGCTCAAGTCCACCAAGAAGAGCGCAACTCGCCCACCGACGGGTACACAAGGTGAGCAAGAAGACACAGAGCACGGAATCGGGGTACCCCCTCCGTTAGTCGGTCGCCCGGGCGCCAGTAGAGAGTCGGGATCACAAGGAAATTGTGATTACCGCTCCGCTACAATGGTGCGCGTGCCCGGTTCTTCTGGTGACTCGGGATTTCACCGTGAGTCCCTGAGCGAAGAAGTCAAGATAAAGACTGAACCTGGGATAGAATCTCCAGCGGCAGAGGGATCGTCGCAGACGCGTGAAGATGAAGGGTTCCCAGATCGTCAACCTTTTGGGAGATGCTTTGACGACAAGAAAAGAAAAAAGAAAGATCGTTCGCTCGATCTGGAAGAAAACCCCCAAATCCCTCCTGAAGCCCCTTCGGGGGCCACCGCGGATCGCACTGCAAAGCGTGATCCGCCGGATGAAAGCCCTAAGGGAACCCCCAAACGAATTTCATTTATATTAGATGAACCATCAGGGATGATGAAGAGAGAGATACAAGATGTTCAGAAGACTTTAAGAAGCTGGATGAGGCGAAACAAGATCGAATTGTTCACAAGAACAAGCCAGCCGGATGCAAGGTCAAAACGGAGACGATGGGCCAAGGCTCAAAGTCAGTGGATCGCGAAGTAAAGTTTGAAGATTGGCGATTCGACGATTTCAGCCGGGAGTACCATTTGCAGGAGCTGAAGAAGCTGTTGTCGAGCGATCCAGTGCTTAAGACAATCAAGCCGAAGCTGACCGGATCGCTACGTGGACGGATACCAGCGCCTAAACCAACTCCAAACGTGTTGGAGGCGCTCTGACGTCTAATCCAATTACTAACTGAAGCGGGGTTCACGTCCGGAACGTTTGACGCACAAGCTCTACTAGAGTGCAACCACGATCGAGTGATCGTTGCCGGACAGTCGATGTTCAAGACGTTGAGTCCGCTCATAGGAATACGTGACCCTTCTAACAACCCGACCCCGCCGACCGGCACCATGGATCAGGTTCCCACGCCGATTTACGAGTTCCCCGAGGATGAACACACTGGATCGTCCCGGTATGCTTCAGCGGAAGAGAACTCGAACGATTCGTTCGAGATCCAATGGATGTCGCTTGGACTTAAGGGAGCGGATCTGTTAAAAACGAAGTTTGAACGGAATGAGGCAAAGGCGTAAGCTGGAAATCCAGCGGCAACGCAGTTTATGCACATGGTGGAGTCGGACCAAGTGAATGCCTATTTTCGAGCAGCCATAAAAAAATATGAGCTATAACAATTTCGCATGAACGCCGGACGATCGGCTAATCGTCATCCCGAACCGGAGATCTAATGCCAGATATTGACATAAAGTCGGTTCGATCGCGTCTTAGTGGATTGAACGACCATGATCGTAAGCGCCGAGACCAAGACCGCAGGTGGCGACGGCAGGAGCGGCGGAGATCGATGGATTCTCTAGCCAAAGAATTTAAATGTCTGCCATGGACGAACTGAAAGAATTCTCCGGAAGAGAAAAGAACGAGGAACGGGCTAGAAATTGGATCAGTAAGGTGAAATCGGCGTTCCTACGAGATCGAGTGCCGGATGGAGAGAAGTGCCTGTTATTCAGAGATCTTCTTACGGAATCGGTGCGTGACCGGTATAACCAGCTCGGTCGCTCAGCGAGAACCTCGTGGAATTCACTCTTAAATTCATGGCCAAATGCGGAGGGAAGAATAGTGTTTCAGTTGGAAGACTTTATTACCATGCCTGTAAGCGATCGAACGAGACTCCATTGGAGTACTTGTACCGTCTAAATGTAGCCGCGATCCGGGAAAATATCCCGATACGAGATGTATCGCCCGCCACTCGCAAGGAGCATGTGAATCATTACATTGGTACCCTGGACGATCGCGATCTGGTTAGAATGCTAACGATGTTACGCCTTGGAGATGCAGACTATCTGGGAGAAACGCTGTAAGAATGCGAGAATATGGAAGTCCGAGAAGCTCACGCCTCTATGGGGAAGAGCAAGTTTCGACATCGTGTTACGTCACAGGCGGCCCAAGTGCCATCCATACCAGCGCGGGCTGTGATAGCAATCCACGTGTAAAGCGAGAGAAGTGGATCAGACAAGGATTCTTGCGGATCGGTCTCCGACTCGGATC